TGTTTTCAGGCTGTTAGCAGTATTCATAAAACACGGTTCAGTGACGTCACCTAGGTAAACTGAACCAAAGATTCAAATACCTTGGAGGAAAAGACATCGTATCTTAGGGAATCCTGAGATCCATTCTGTTGGGTTTGTTTATTTTGAAGTTTATCACAAAACATAGAGGATAGCCAGCACTTTAGGTACAACTTCCTAGAATACCTCACGGCCCCTAGCAGGAGACTGTGACATGCACCATAGATCATCCCTCATTTGACACAGGGGTTTGTGGTGGGTGTACAATGTTTTCAACAGGACTAAATGAGAAAATCCAAACTTCTCTACAAACCGACCCACAAAAACTGTAACTTGAGGGGGAATAAAAACAAATGTGGGGCTTCTCACTGTCTCTACTAAACATTCCAGAGCCACATTCAGCTAAGTTGAGAAGTATTCCTTCATACAAGGGGCTCTCGAGCCTGGCTGGACTGAGGGGTCCCCTGGGGCCCTTTGGGCATCTTGGAGAGGCCGGCTGCCCATATGCAGCTAGGCTGGAGAACCACTGCAGTCTCCCAACTTTAATGGAACTTTTATGTTTAAATCTAGACTAAAACAAGCCAAAGAAGTCTAAAAAATGAATTATGGCACAGCTGATTGGTTGAGACTTGTTTCAAGATTGACAAACAGATGGGTCAGGTGGGGTGGTGTGCACTTGTGGCAAATGGAGTATAATTCGTACATTTTCAGAATTCTTGGGTCTCAGAGGAAGAAGAATTACCATTTTTATACACAGACAAGGCACCCAATATATAAAACTCATGTAAGGTGTTCATGGCATAGACTTTATGCCTATACTTCTCTCTTTTCATTACACACATGTCAAGTTTTCTTCATCGTTTCTTAATTGTACTCATTAGAGTCAGTTTTTGGGGGGAAAAATGAAACTTTTGATCTGATGTGTGAAGGATGTGCATCTTAGACAAATAAACCTATAGGATATTAGTAACAATAATCAATGCCGATGTACTTATGGGTGGTTTGTTTTTAATTTCTTCACCTAGTTTCCAAATCACCTTTACTTAGATCAAATTGCATGTTGGTATATCTCCCAATAATAGCAAAACATAACTTTCTGATATCTTTTGGCATTTTAAAAGAACAGATACTTGTCAAATCTTGCATTTAGGTTGACTTGACTAAGAAGCTCACAATACCATATATATTATATATGGAAGATTATAATTTTTTATGATTATTCTTGAAGTTTTGATGTAAAAGAAAAATCTGAATGGTTCTTCAATAGCATTGAAAAACAAAATACAATCAAATTCAAATACTTATTATAATTAAATTTAATTAAATACAGTGCTAATAATTATTAATACTTATTAAATAATTGCAAGAATAGCATTCTTCATTATTTTTTGCTTTTAGTAGTCATTAACTTAAAGAGAAGAAATAACTACACTCAAAAGTGGTTACAATATCAGCAAAATAAAAATGACACAACAGAATTGATGACTTTCGTGTCTATCAAATGGCTTGTATGAAAATGTACTATTTTCATCCCCAATGATCCTTTCAGTTAAAACCTTTTAGGGCATGTAGCTCATAAAATCAGCATCCATTACAATTTTAGTTATTATTAGTTTGTAAGTTTAGACCACCATTTACCCCAAAATGAAAAGATATGTTGATGCCCAGAAATCCAGGACCCCATCATCAATGGTGCAAGTGGTGTATATTTATATCACGTTTGGAGGTTTTCCAAGGTGCATAACATCCTTTTGGGGTTGCCTTGCTGGCCCAGAAGAGGGGTGCACCGCCAGTCCAAGAATCAGGAAATGTGGGTGGTAGGACTGGTCTGCTATGGAGGAGCCGCCTCACCCTGGGCAGATTACCAGGTGTCTCAACCTATCAACCAGGGAGGGATTAGTTAGTTCTGTGGAGCTGTCAAGTTCCAGAAACCAGACATAAAGCCCTCTACCTCTGAAGAGATAACTGATCAGCGTTGCTCTTTTTTTAGAAATTCTGAAGATACTTAACAACCATAAAAGCGACTGCACTGTCCAAGTGCTTTAATATGGCAGAGATAATTTCTCTTTTTTTTTGCAATCTGTACATAGAAAAATTCATCATTTTGTTATGTTTCTAGGGAAAAAATATTTTTAAAAATTCTATCCAAAGGAATTAAAATATCTGTTGTATTTTAAAGCAAATGGCTTGCTTTTATAATGTGGAAACCATCTGACTTGCTGTGACTCATGCTGATCCCTCTTTTTATCAGGGAGAAAATGACTTGCATCAGGTTCTTTTCATGTTGTTATTTCCTACTTTGATCAGTTGTATATAAATGTACATTTTTGTTAACTTCTGCTGTGCCAGTTAGAAATATATTTCCCATAAACTATACCTCCCATTTAAGTCTGATTATGTACACTTTGCCTAGGTCTTTCCAAAATAAAATTTATGTAAATGTTTATTTTATATAAAATATAATGAAAATAATTATGTCTGCTTCGATCTCTCAAGTACTCCGTGAGCAGTTCCTATTGAAATCCATGTCACTAGCTGGTGTCTGCCTCAAAAGAAAGAAAACTTTTCCTTCTCTCATTCATCCATTGCATTGCATTGTTCTGCGTGTTTCGTGTCTGCCCTCCTTCCCATACCTCACAGTGACTATTTCAGTCCTTATGTGCTCCTGATCTTTTCCTCTCATCTTGCTGAAGAAATGCCTCACCTCTTTCTGCAGAAAGTAAGTAAAAGGTAGAAAACAGATATTCTCTGAATATCCTTGCACCCCATCTACAAACTTAGCTGTACCCAATTCTTTCCTCCTATTACTACAGTGGAAGAAGAGGGCCCTAGGCTCTGGATTTTGCCTCTTGTGAAGCTTCATTTCATCCTTTAAACTTTTTTTTTTTTTTAATCTTCAACTTCTTTCTTCTGACTTCTGTGAATTCTATTCTATTTGAAGACACATTTACCGATAACCACCATCAAAATCATTTGAGGAAAAAAAAAGATTAAGTATTTCCTGTATTTCTTTTTATCTCTAGCTACTACCACACCTCTCTTCCTTCTCAGTCAAGCTATTTGAGTGAATTGTCTTCACCCATTCTTTCTACCTCCATCCTCCCCATTCCCTCTGCTTCACAGAGATCTTTCACTGCAACAAATAAGCAAATGAAACTGCTGTTTCTAAGGCAACCAAGAATCCCCTCAGTGTTGAATCTTCAACCTCGTGGGACTTCGGAGAAGATATTAGAGTTTAGACCAGTATGTTATCAGGGATGGAAAAAATTGTTTACACAAAACATAATTTGCCCACGATTTGCTCATTGATGATAGGTTAGTCACTAACACTCCTATTTTTACAACTCTCCTTAGAGTTGGGGTTTCCATTAAGAGTCTTGGAAGACCTCCAAAAACACATCACTATCCTGCCCTACCTAATGAAGAAGATGTATTCACATTAAAGGCAGATTTCCCACACATCACAAATCCAATCTGGGGCAATTTGGCCCACTCTGTCCCTTGACATTTCCATATATATATGAGAAGACTCTCATTTAGCTGCTGCAACATCATCACAAACAACATATTTAAACCATCATCTCATTGGCAGATTTAAAACTAACAACCTATTGGATAGCTTTACAATTCCTATTGAATGGCCCCTTTCCTATTTAATGAGAAGGGATTATTTTGTTAGGCTTATAAGGGACCAATCCTCAAAAAAAGGACAAGGTCTCACTTCAGGCTGTGAGTTTTGAACTCTGGAAACAAAGGGAGTTGTGCTGTAACAGGAAATGAGACCATGCCCAACCCCATGGAGACTTCTGGGTATGAAACAAACCATTGATTATCCCGCAAAACTGTGCATCACATGTGGAAGAGCGCAAACTGCCAGGATCCGTGGGCCTCAAGAGAAAGCCATGAACTTGAACATTGTGGGTCCAACTGTACTTGCCTATCAAGTGAGCATTTTTCTTTTCCTCTCCCATTTTATTTGGTAATGACTTTGTAGCAGTTTTAATCTGACCTCCTCTTGTTAAGAAGAAGTAGATATTTGGGTCTATCTGGAGGGGCCTGAGCTTTTATTGGAGAACAGTCTGCCCCTGGGGCAAGGGATGGTTATGGTAATCCTGGTAAGATCATCACAGTGAAAACAAAATTTAAAGCTGAGGTGGTGGCACCTGGATGGCTCAGCGGTTGAGGGTCTGCCTTTGGTTCAGGTCATGATGCCCGAGTCCTGGGATCCAGTCCCGCATTGGGCTCCCCCTGGGGACCCTGCTTCTCCTTCTGCCTATGTCTCTGCCCCTCTTTCTGTGTCTCTCATTAATGAATAAGTAAAATATTTTTTAAAAAGAAAAAAAATAAAGGTGAAGTGGTAGGGACCATGGGTTAGGCACCCACCATACCAGGGGATTTCCTTTGCAAAGTGTTCAGGCCTGAAGGTGCAGGGCTTTCTTTTCACAGACATGCTGCATACCTTCTGTCACCTAGAGCTTGAAACTCAAGCTTGAAACCCAGAAGCTATCTACTCAAGGTGTCTTTATTTAAAATAAATACATAAAATGGTGCTTGCTATTCTCGAGAACAGTGCAGTCCAATAGAACTATGTGTGCTGATGGCAGTGTGCTTTATCTGCTCTCCACTAGCCACAGGCGGCTATTAGCCTCACTGTGACTGAGGAACTAATTTTTTTTTCTTAAAGATTTTATTTATTTATTCATGAGAGACAGAGACAGAGAGAGAGAGAGAGAGAGAGAGAGAGAGGCAGAGACACAGGCAGATAGAGAAGCAGGCTCCATGCAGGGAGCCCGATGTGGGACTCGATCCTGGGACTCCAGGATCACACCCTGAGCCGAAGGCAGGAGCTAAACTGCTGAGCCACTAAGGGATCCCCAAGAACTAATGTTTTTATTGTAGTTAATACTAGTTTAAATAAACCTGTCCCACTAGAGTCCACTATAATTGGACAGTGCAGCTCTAGAGCTTCTTACTGTTGTAAGATGGGACGTAATAAGAAGAGAAACACCTTCGAGGTTCGTGAGATAGGAAGGTTTGATACTGTTTCCAATTTCAGTGCCAAATACACTCTGCAAGCTTTTCATCAAAAGGTGCCCCTTTACCTTCTGTTCCCTTCTGCAGTTTCAGGGGTCATTGTCCCCAGCTGCTTCTCACCTGCCTGTGTCTGTACCTGCATTCCCTCCACCTTGCCTGTCTTCTGCTTTCCTGTCCATCTGTCTACTGCCTGCCTGTCTTCCTAATTTTATACCTCCTACCTTAAGGAGATTTTTATTTCTCTTTTGCACAGAAGTAAGACAACTGGGCCCGGGAGATTGTTGTCCACCTGAGTTATATTTGGAATGTCCACTGAGCTTTGCCCTAATTTTTTTTGATGAAACATAAATCCATTATACATGCTGGCTTTTTTTTCCCTCTCCCAACTGCAAGCTACCTATGACAAAAATACTTGTGGGGGAAAAAATGTGGGCATGATCATCTTACCGATGAATTTATTTTAATAATTTTTACCAAGTATTTTATTTATTTATTCATGAGAGACACACAGAGAGAGGCAGAGACACAGGCAGATGGAGAAGCAGGCTCCAGGCAGGGAGCCCGATGTGGGACTCCATCCTGGGACCCCCGGGATCATGACCTGAGTGAGCCCAAGGCAGATGCTCAACCACTGAGCCACCCAGGTGTCCCATTTTAATAATTTTAAACGGCAGATCCTACTGCTTTGGCATTCCTCTAAAGCTAATAAGATAGCCACCCAGGGGATCCCTGGGCGGCTCGGCGGTTTAGCGCCTGCCTTTGGCCCATGGTGCGATCCTGGAGACTCCAAGAAGTCCCACATGGGGCCTCCTGCATGGAGCCTGCTTCTCCCTCTGCCTGCCTCTCTCTCTCTCTCTATCATAAATAAATGAATAAATAAATCTTAAAAAAAAAAAAAGCCACCCAGAACAGGATGGCAGCCGTAAACCTGATCTTTCATACCCACTCTTCTAGAAAATTCTTGAATGTCAAGGGTTTCAACAAGCTTCTTAGAAGGAGGGGCAGGACCACTAGTCCCTCACTGAGCTTTCCAGAGTCTTCTCCTTTCACAAGTCGGTCTGCCTGCTGCTTGCATGGGTGATCAGCTTCCTCGGGCCTGGGCTTGGGCCACACTCCCCGGTTTGGGACCGAGTCCCCCTGTGCTGAGCCTTCCAGGCCACCGACCACCCTGCTCCGGGACCGCGCGCACCTGTGAGGGGCCTCACCTGGTGGCCCGAAGGCGGGACGACCCGGGGCAGGTGCAGTGCGGAGGGCGGCGGAGCCCGAGGGCCTGCACCGCGGGGCCAAGGGCGCGCTGGCCCGGGGGCTTCTGGAGGTCAAGGTTGTAGGCCCTTGGGCTAACGGAAAAACAGCCCATTAGAAGGGATTTAAAGCCCGATCTCTCTTTTCTGGAGTAGCATGTGTTGTTCTCCAGTATCTTTAATACACCCTAAATTATGCACTGCTCAGCGCCTCCAACCCCCCAGCTTAAGACTAGAATGGATCCCAGGGTGGGGTGGGGAGTGGGGGGTGGGGGTGGGGGTGGTGCACAGGAATTGGCTCCCCTTCCCTCCCCCTCCCCTGGTCACCCTCTCCCAGTGAGGAGGAGGGGGTCTTACTAGGGCAGTCTAGGCTGTAAAGGGGTGAGGGGGTCTTGAACCAAGTACAAGTTCGGTCAAACAATGGCTTGGTCGTGGGAGAGTCTCAAGGGCAAGGATGGCCTGCTGCTGAGTGTGGTATCAGACCATCCCGGCCGGGCCAGGCAAATCTGAAGGTGCGATCTTGATAAAGTGAGTCCTTGCCGTTGTGGCCTGGGCGCCTGCGTGCACACACACGTACGTGCCCTCTCTGCCACACAGGACTGAAGTGTGGGGTCCCTGTGGTTGATGTGCACTGGGAAACAGGGTTCATCCCGAGAACGATCAGTTGGAGAAATTCAACAGTCGGTGGACATCCGTGGCAGGTCAGTGTAAGGAAAGCCTTGATTTCTTAATGAGAAGTGGTGACGTTTTCTCTTGCTTCAGCTCTCACAACTCCAGAGGAACGTGTAACTTTTCTCTTGACCCCAACTCAACCTCTCCGCCAAAAAACCTACTTCGTAGGAAGCATCTTCCTAACCAATTTTATTGGTAACTTAAGAAGGTTGTACAAGGAGAATTGATTTCACATGTTTCTGAAGGCGATGGCATCTATGGGGAGATGTATATATTAGTTGTTTGTACTTTTCTTCTTGGGCAGGTCTCCCTAAAATTAGGTGAGGACCACTTCTGTGGAGGAAGCTTGATCCAAGATGATCTGGTTGTTACAGCAGCAGGCTGCCTGGTTGGTCTCAACCAGTAGGTTGTGGATTTCCATTGCTTATCAAACCTTAATTCATAGCAGGTAAGACTGGGAGATTTGAAGCTCTAAATACCATGGGAGGGTCAATCTCAGCCCCTTTCTGATTTTTTCAACCTGGTCCACCCAGTCACTGGCCTTCCTGATCCCCAGAAACTTGTATCCAGCTCAAGATTCCCTGTACTTCCTACTCCACTAACTAGAGACCCCAAAGATCCCATAGATCTTCTATAATTTGTGGAGTTAGTGGTAAGGTGGAGGTGATGGTTACTTGTTCTAATAACATATTGACATCAAATGTTAAATGGATGTTCCAAAGTTTTAATAATCTGAGTTTCAGTCATTAGAAGGGAAAAAATAGATATACTATTTTTAGTATATCTATTAGTATATTTGGTATATTTTACTATTTTTTATAGAAATAACAGATACTTAGCTAGATTGAGAGAGAGTACTAATAATAAGGACAGTTCTAGAGACACCTTTTATATTTTGTTAAAAATGAAAGAGCATATAAGCTGGTAAAAAAAGAGAAAAAAAACAGACCACACTTAAATATTTTATGCAGAAAAAGAATTGATGGCAGGGGAAGGGGTCACGGAATGTAAACACTGATGGAAACCCATGATTTTTTTACAGATCCCTGTAATTTATAGGCAATTATGATAGTTAGTATTAATCCTCAGTAAAGGTGCATCTCCTTTTAAGACTTAGAAATGCTTTAAGTTACACTAATCACTTTTCATTTAATTACGTGAAACCAAGACAGTCTTTCCTGGGGAAAACAGTTGTACTTAATTGCAACATTTTTCTTTTGTTTTAGGAAGCAGATTAAGAGTCTGACTGTGACTGCTGGGCAGGACAACCTCTCTCAGAAGGCGGAACAGGAACAAAAGAATCCTGTCTCAAAAATTATTATCCATCCTGAGTACAGCAGACTTGGATATATGAGTTCTGATCTTGCACTGCTGTATCTCAAACACAAAGTTGAGTTTGGTAAGTAGGGGGAGTTAGCATATGAAACAACGTAGGAGAAAACTGTTTTACTAATTCTGTACCAGTTCACTTTAATTTTTGTGCATATATCTAATAATAACTAAGCTTTGTTCCTTTTTAAAAGTTTGTTGATAGCCTATAAAAAGCACTGTGCAGGCTACCAGTCCCAGACACAAGTCATGTATACCTGACTTAATCCACATTTTAAGTGCTCCTTTCTTTTAGCTGGGCTAGATTCTAGACGTAGGCTCAGCTCTCACCAGGGAGTTTGGGACGTTTGAAAATGTTCTCAGAAACTTCTTTCTGTCATTATTGTGGACTAGATATCTGACACATTCTCAGCACAGGTATTCTAAGCATTTTGAATAAAAATATTAAAATTCTGTTTTTTAAAAATGTGAAAAATAGGGGCAACTGGGTGACTCAGTGGTTGAGCATCTGCATTTGGCTCAGGGCATGATCCCAGAGTCCTGGGATTGAGTCCTGCATTGGGCTCCCCTCGGAGAGCCTGCTTCTCCCTCTGCCTTTCTCTACCTATCTCTCTCTGTGTCTCTCATGAATAAATAAATAAAATCTTTTTTTAAAAAAATAAAAGTGTTGAGTGGCCCAAAACAATGAAAGAGCACAAATCTAGAAGAGTTGGCCAGATACTGAAATATGCCACTGCCTTTGAGACATCAAATTGTTAACCTAGAGCTAGAACTGGTCCTGCAAGGACCCTGAATGGGAGGAGGGATGGGGGATGAGAGAGTCTGATTGGAGCCTGCCATGTAAGCCCTGACTTCCCAACAAGTGATGCTTTGAAAGATAGAGGGGGGAAATGCCACATAAAGTGAGGGAATCAGGAAACTTACCTGCTTGAGTCTTGTCTCTGGTTGGAAGGTTCTCAGAAAAATCTGTAATCATAAGCAAGCCCTCATTCAAGTTTTTAAAGATTTTATTTATTCATGAGAGAGAGACACACAGAGAGGCAGAGACATAGGCAGAGGGAGAAGCAGACTCCCTGTGGGGAGCCTGATGTGGGACTCGATTCCAGGACCCTGGAATCACGACCTGAGCCAAATGCAGATGCACTCGTTTAGGTTTTATGCTGGAATTCCCATAACCTGTGACCAAAAGAAACTATTGCCCCATTTTTCTATTCTCCTTTATAGAAAAGCTATGAAGCTTCATTTATGGTAAGCAGGTTAATTTCCTCTCCTCAATTCTCATAGTTGCATGTATTAGGTTCAACATATCTGCTAGACATCCAGGTCAATCAGACTTTTACCCCCATCACTCCACCAAATTTGCTTTGATCTCACTCACTCCCATGTTGCTAAATGCAAAGGTAAATTCTCAATCCTCTGCTTACTTGTTGGGAGTTTTGACAGAGTTGCTCATACTGTTCTGGAAACATTTTCTTCACTTGAGTTCCAGGAGTCCCTTGGTTTTCCTTCTACCTCTTTTTTCACCCTTTCCTAGGCTTCTTGGATGATATCTCCTCTTCTTTGTGTCCTCTTATTATAGGTATGCTCAGCACTTGGACCTCTTCTCTTTTTGTCCTCACTCCTTAAGTGTTCTAATCCAGGATCAAGGCTTTATACCATCTGTGTGATGTATCCCAAATATTGTCTATCTAACCCAGGTTTCTTTGTGTTACATATGCTGCTCGGATTACTAGAAGCTGTATAGCTAACTGCCTACTGGCCATCCAAACTTAATAGGCATGGCTATTAAGGCATCTAGATGGCTAATAGGCATCTCAAACTTAATATGTTTAAAACAAAATCTTGATTATCCTCTACATCCTAAATCTTCTTTACCCATAGCCTTCCATTTTGATTAATGACAACTCCATCTTTCCAGCTGTGTAAGGTAAACACTTTACCTTGCGTCTTGATTCCTCTTTCTCTCACATTGATGATTCTTTCTTCCAGAAAAGTCCTGTTGCTTCTGCCTCACTCTCTATGCTCTTAACATCTGTTCCAGGCTACCATTCTCTCTTGTCTAGGCTAATTTTAATAGTCTCATAACTTGTCTTTAAATTCCTCTTTTGCGTGCATAACCCAACAACTAGACTAATACTTTTTGAAACATAAGTTATATTATGTTACTCCTTTTTTTATGTTACTCTTTTCAAAACACTTCAGTGGTTCTTCATTACACACAGATGGAAATCAATGTTCTTGCATTGATGTCTCTGTCCTCCTAGCTCTACATCTAATCTATTGTGTGTACTGTTTTTTTCACTATTTTTTTCTTAATTTTTCCAGCCATTGTGGCCAACTATTCCTCACGCATGTATAACATGATGCCATTACTGGGACTTTCCATTCTCTTCTTCAAATGATTTATGCTCAGATAACTGCATGGTTCCTTCCTTGCCTCAGCTTTTTAAGGCTTTATTCAAATTTCATCTGCTCAATGACTCTTGCCATGACTATCATATTTAAAATTACATTTCCCATGCCATCCTCCCTAATCCCCAGACTTTGAATCTTCTTTACCCTACTCTGATTTTTCCAGAGCGGTTACCTAACAACCAATGAAGTTATTTTATTTATTGTTTGCTTTCTTGCTTCCCCAACACACACTTTTGTATGTAAGGGATTTATCTTTCTGTTAATTCACTGAGGTCTAGAAGAGTGCTTGCCACATAGTAGGACTCAATTACTCTTAGAGAAGACTATCCTTTAAGAACAAGGATCTACCTGAAAATGTTAGTAGTTTTGGAGGATCGTGGTGTTGTGTATAACACTGGAGCATGTTCTTCCTTGTTTTACTTTATCTGCATTTTTCTAAATTTGCATGAATATGGAATAGTTTTTTTATGAAAGGGGAAACTTTAAAAATCTATGTCAAGATTACACTTAGGGAGAAAGCATAAAAGCTATGAAATCAACTAGATGTTATTTTTCCAAATATATTCAACTTGTCTATGAACCTTACAATTTTCTGTTATTGTTGTTTTTCCAGGAACTGCTCTTCAGCCAATCTGTCTTCCCCAGAGAGATGATAAATTTGAAGCAGGAATTCTTTGCATGACCAGTGGATGGTGCAAGATCTCAGAGAGTAAGAGGCATCAAAAGGATATAATAATAGCTCTTCTAGATTTCTTTGCCCATGAAAAGCAGGAATTAAAAAAAAAAAAAAAAGAAAAGCAGGAATTTTATTGGCCATGAGTAATACATTTTCCCTATTTTGGTTTTGTTTTCTCCCCCCGAGTTATGATCCAGTGAGAATTTCTGGTTGTCTTCCCCATAAAAATGACTATACTTAAGGCTCTACATAAAACTTCTCCTGTGGCCCATTTTGGTTAGGGGTGTCAGAAAAAGAAAACCAATGGTAACTATGACAGATGAAGAAGAAGAATACAGTAAAGGGATAATCAGTAAATAGTAATAATCATAAGCTTGCTTGTCTTTAATATTGTGATTTTTTTTACAATAAAGAATTTCATAAAATACTACTTTATTTACTAAAGTTTTCCCTCTTAGGGAAACTTCAAGTATATGATCAGAAAAGATACAGTTGCCTATGTTACCTTTAAAAATCTACCAATTTTTTTATAAAATGTCATATATCTGATTTTAGGAAAGAATATAATTCACACCTTAAAAAGTGACTTTCACGTTGTGATTAATCATATTTGAAGTAGTTTTATACTTGTAGTGTTCTTACTGATTTGTTTCAGTGACGACAACTGTTGACTGTTGACTAACAGTTGACTAACTGTTGACTAACTGATCAGTCTGTCTCCATAGCATCAGAATATTCAACCATCCTACAAGAAGTGGAACTTCCCATCATGGATGACAGAACGTGTCAGACTGTGCTCAAGGGTATGAACTTTCCTCTCCTTGGAAGGACAATGATGTGTGCCAGTTTTCCTGATGGGGAAAAGGACGACTGCCAGGTAAAAAGCATAAACCAGCCCAGTTATTCAGAATCATGTAGGTGATAGTGGATTCTTCCTTTCTTCATGAGCTGCATCTGCAGAATTACTGCTTCAGAGTTCTTTTTTTGTTCATCTTTCTACTGAGAAAGTTTATTTGATCTGGCCTGAGAGCATTCTTTCCTGATCCATGCCCATTCTTATCTCCAACCCTCTTTTTGGAGAAAGGGAGGGAGGGAAGGCAGGAGAGGTGGTTTCAACATATCCAACCTAATGGAAGGAAGCAAGAGCACTTTGGCAAACTAATGAGCTCTATCTGTGAATTAGTTTTCATTCTACCTTTTGTTTTTTTTTTGTGATTTTTTAAAAGCCTTTAATGCAGAACGCAATGCTTACACAGAATTTGACCAAAGATGGCATAGGTATAGTAATTGTTGGGTAAAACATGTGAATGACCTCCCAAGGCTGACACAGCAACTTACAAAGAAGACTGATCCTCACAAGATAGAGAGTGGAAAGAGAAACCAATTTGGGAAAGACAGGAGTTTTAAGTTTTAGATGGAGAAGATAATATTCTTAGAAAGACATTTTTTTTTTTAACTGGAGGAGCAAGGAGTCTTTTTTCTTCCCCAACAAACAGCTTGAAACTACTATGGGAAGCTCCCTAAAATTATTTGTTGGAAGAAGTTTTGACTTTTGTTCTAGGAATGGAGGGAGAGAGGTAGTGATAACAGGACAGGGACCAGAAAGAGTTTCAAAGAGAGGAGATAGAATGTTTAATGATGCCACTTTCTAAATTGGAACACAGATAGATTAAGGATGCTTTATCTTATCTGCATCTTGAGAAATAATCTTTTTTTTTGGATTAAGGACTCAATTCTATGCCTTTTAAAGAGGCTTTAGTCTGACACAGAATTGACACATTTTCTCAAAATAACACATTATTATGAAGGATTTTTAAATTGATTTTATTTTTTAAGATTTTATTTATTCATGAGAGAGAGAGAGAGAGAGAGAGAAAGAGGCAGAGACACAGGCAGAGGGAGAAGAAGCAGTTTCCATTCAGGGATCCTGACGAGGGACTTGATTCCAGGACCCGGGATTACACCCTGAGCTGAAGGCAGACACTCAACCGCTGAGCCACCCAGGCATCCCTATTCTGAAGGAGTTTTAAAGAAAGGATCCTAAAATTATGGGTTCTTTATCCTCTAGTCTGAGAGTCCTTTACATATAACCCCTGGGACAAAATTAGGCTTCCGTTCTGTTCTCAGAGTCTTCAGCCTTTCATGAACTTGGGGACTCTATTGACTGGTGCTATAGGCTTAGATATGACCCAGTCTCTTATAGCGATTATAGATGACAAACTATAGTAGAAGACTGTATCTGCAAATTCCTCCTGTTCCTTCCATTGGTTTGGAATGTACATGGTTGTTCCCCCAAGCAAGTAGGGGCAAGAGAGAAATTGTTAGCTTGACAAGATTGCAGGCAATAATTAGAAGGAGGTTACATCTGGGCAAAAGGACTATTACCTTGAAACTAATGTGAAGAGACAAAAAGATGGACAAAATATATATATATAGACTGTAACCAGTGGGCATGTATGCCTCTACTACTGCTCTCTTTGAGATGAGTGCTGTTGTGTGTGGGCCTGCTAAAACATTTTAAATTTGTGAATATTTTCAAGTTCTTTTCTTCTTCTGTTCTATAAAAGGGAGACTCTGGAGGTCCATTTGTTTGTAGAAGAGACAGTGGAATCTGGGTCCTTGCTGGGATAAGTTCCTGGAGAGCTGGTTGGACTAGAGATTGGACTTCTTTAAGAAAAAACCATAGAAGGGCATCTCTGGGCATTTTCTCCAAGGTGTTTGAGTTGATGGATTTTATCACTCAGAATATATGCACAGGTAGGTGTAATTTCTGCAAACTCATTCTTCCTCCTTTCATTCTAAATCAAAAATTGATCATGTTTATTTCAAGGGTAGTTACTCTGATATGTTGCAGATATAACAGAACTAAGCTCTAAAAGCACGAATGTGTTTGGTTTTCAATTCCTAATCCAATGTATATGAACTTAAATCCCTAAAATCATGTGAACCGATATCTTTATTTCCATCTATCTATATATCTATCTATCTATCCTGATTTTACTTATTTATTCATGAGAGATTCAGAGAGAGAGGCAGAGATATAGGCAGAGGGAGAAGCAGGCTCCCTGTGGGGAGCCCAATGTGGAAGTGGATCCCAGGACTCTGGGACTACACCCTGAACTGAAGGAAGACAGATGCTCAACCACTGAGCTACCCAGGTGCCCCAATATCTTTCAACTTAACTTGAACTCAACTTGAACATAACCTAAAGCTTCAAGTTTATGTTCGTGTAGATTTTCATGAAATATGGATCATTTTTTTGTATTTGTAAGGTTCAAAAAATAACCTTTGAGAAAGGATTCTTTCTTCATTCATCCAGTTGACATATCTTTTTCTTCTATGCTAGTTTAGAGCACTTAAAATAAATTACTCCTCTCCCATGTCTCTCATATACCTTTGGTAATTTTATTTGGCAACAGTGGGAAAAACAAGAGAGGCTTTGGAGAGTTATTTTTGTTTTGCAGCACTAAAAATCTAAAAATCTAGATTAGGAAAACAAATGTGTCTAGAGATGCCAAACCCATCCTCAAGGAACTTTCCTACTAGTTGGAAGGACAAAGGAGTAAATTGACCATTGTGACAAAAGGTGAAGTGCGGTTGTGCCCTGAGAGCTGTCAGAACAACTAGGAGAGATCTGAGGGGCTCAGTTCCAAGGGACCAGAAGGTTTGCCAAGCAAGGGGGCAGCCACTGCAGAGTAGAGAGTTGTGAAGTTACGTGACTTACAAGAACAAGCAGTTTGGTACAAGAACCAATTTCTTCAAGGTCAGGGCCCAGGGCATCAGAACATAGTGTTCTCTCCATCCCACCAGCCCTCCCTCATTGTAGTCCAAGATCAGCCACCTCGCCGATGATTTGAGAAGCACCACTGTCACTGGTCCAACTGACCACCAGAGCTACCTCTGGCTAGAGCGGGCTCTCTACTCCCTCTCATTTAGGCGTTAGAGTGAAAGTGTCCTGTTCATTGTCATTACTGCACAGGGAAATTCTCTCCTGGTAGCAATTCTATTCAGTTTTCATCACCTGGAAGAGAAGGTTAAAAAGATTAACAAGCCCTGAACAAAGGTTAATGATAACAGTATTTTCAAAGGGCAGTGAAATCAGCCAGTAACAATTAATTCTACAGTCAAGTGAATGGCAGAATGGGATGGTTTATTTAAATAATGCTTCCTAAACCTTATCTAAGCTTCTCATCCCATAGTTGCCTATTTTTTCCTCACTTCCAACAATTAAAATGAGACACTGGAATCTGAAATTTCTGAGTGCATGATAGAGACTTGCCATGTCATTGCTAAAATTTGTGTCTTTTTACTTTAGTGTTTTTATACAAAGGTATTTTATTATAACCCAGGGTATCCCAGTGAGAGATGGAGAGAAAAGCCATATTAGTTCCATATACTATAAATTTGAAGCCTCAGTGTGACTCATGATTTCAAAAAACCGGATAAAGAAATGTTAAATCTGAAGAACTCGGATAAAGAAAAGAACATTATGATTTAGAAATTTTCTCAGCGAATTCTGAGGTCATAGCATCTAAAAACATGCATTCCCATAAATATAAATTACATAGCTTTAAGCTGACTGTACCATATGTCTTGAAATTCTGTTCATAGCTGAGGTAAATAATCAGCTTTTTTCTACATTTTGAGGGCTTGTGGATCTCAAGGAACAGTGTTATTTGGAGAAAATGGGAAAATTCATTATCCCCATTCCAAAGAAGGCAGCTGTTCTCATAATTGGTATGTATCCAAGGTAGGAATGATTCTTGGGATCCCCCCCAAATCAAGCCATTTAAGGGGTTATATTTTGGCAATTTTATCTAGTATCTCTATTTCTCAAGCTGATTGACATAAAAGTCTATATATTTCATCTGATATTTTCTGCTTGGCAAGTATTTTCTGACTGGTATTTCTGATACCCACTAATACAGATCGTCAACACATGAAGTATTAAGACTGGAGCTTACCTGAATTGATGTATTCATATATCCAATATTAACAGCATCTGGTAGTGAGATTGTTATGGGAATTTAGTGATTAATCCTTTCCTACTTATTTCTGTAATAATGGTAATACTTTGTTAAGTGTTGCCTAGAAAGTAGAAAATAGCTCATGATCTATAAGCTTCAGTGTTTTAAAATTTTTTCTACATAACTTGTACCCTCTATGGCTAAAGATCTCTTTAAGCGTTAGAAATAAATTTTGCAAGTATTTCACTTCCTCAAGTGTTGTAAATTAATTTTAAACCTTGTACGAGCATTGAAAGGTATGCAAAGGGGAATCCCTGGGTGGCTTAGCGGTTTAGTGCTCGCCTTTGGCCCAGGCCGTGATCCTGGAGACCTGGGATCGAGTCCCACATCAGGCTCCCTGCAAGGAGCCTGCTTCTTCCTCTGCCTATGTCTCTGCCTCTCTCTCAATCTGTGCCTCTCATGAATAAATAAATAAAATCTTAAAAGAAAGGTATGCAAAGGTAGATCACAGTTCTATGAGTTATTATCTGGAAAGAAGAAAGAACTGGACGAAAAGAGTCATACTATAAAACAAGATCAAATAAGCTTTATAATCCACATTGCTCAGGTATAGGGTGATCTTATGCGAAATAGAGAGACTAATTCCTGTTACAGTCATTTGTGCAGTGTATTTATTGTATGGCTGCAAGAGATTGAGAATAGGAAATGTGTTAGTGAAGGGGGTAGTATTGATCCAGGCATTGAAGGATAGTTACAATTTTGAAGCTCATAAAGTCTTTTGTAGCTCTAGTATCTAAGAGATTGCAAAAAAGATCATCCAGGCAGGGGGAATTACACGTAAACACTTCCAGGGAGGTAGAGAATATTATGGTTGCTCAGACAGTGTGTGTCACAGACCTGCTGGAGAGCAATATTAGCATGAATAAGAAGTGGTGTAGCAGCGGACAATGAAGATAAAACTTCTGGTTAGGTCTTAATTGTAGAACACCTTAAATTCCATGAGAAGCAGCTTAGTTTTTTGCCATAAGCAATGGGAAGCTAAAATGGTGGCAAGATTATAATTTATAAAATGAATGTGTAATGACTGTTTGTTGTAAGTATAGAGGGGGAATGGTGTGGCTTAATTGAAGCCCATATTTAAATGGCTTAAAAGTCTAAGTTGACTTTCTGTGTATCAACCTAGTAGTAATATAATACCAATAAGGTGTTTGCCATATTTGATTAAACTTTTAGAAAAATAGCATCTAGAACAAGAGTGAGAGTTCTATTTTATTAGAGTTCTGGGTAGCGGGAGTGGGAAGGTTCTCCAGGTATAATCTTTAGAGTGGGACATCGATAAGCTGGAAATTATCTGAAGGACAGTAGCTAACATGGAAAGAAATTTGAAACAATATCTTGGGAGATATGATAGAAGGAACCAGGAGTGGTTTTGATTCAAAGACTTGAGAGGAGGAAGGAACCTACCTGAGGAGCCACTATAGAAGCAGAATTGGACTTGTTCTAATGAAGTGCAGAGCTGAGAATAAGGGTAGATATTAGGAGGAAGCAGATTTCAATCCAAATAAAATAGTTTCTAACTTGAGAGATCTCTAAGACTTAATGGCCTTCCTCAGAAGTAATGAATTTCCTTTATAAGTAGGTATTTGAGAAGAGCATGGGTGGCTATGGGTGAAGTTCTAGAAAGCTTTGATACATTGGGTTAAGGGACATGCAGATGACATCCAGTTTATCCTCAAACACAGAGAACCTGCCATTCAACTTAGACAATGAAGTATTGAAGAGATTTCTGCAAGATAGCCTTTCAAGGCAAAAGGGGGTATTATAAGTGTTAGATATTACATTAAGTCAAAATGAGGTCAGATAAAATACCATTGGATATGGCAGTTCAAAATTTAGTAGCTAATTCAGTAGAATTGCAGGATCAGGAGCTATATTCATAATTGACTAAGTTATTTTTTTTTAATTGACTAAGTTATTGTTGAAGACTTGGTATCTTTCCTTCACCAAGTAGTCAAAACATTTTTATCAAAACTTTAAGATGTGTCAGGCACTGTTGTACGTGCTAGAAACATAGCAATGAATGAAACAGTTGAAATGATTCCTTTGTGGTGCAAGATGGAAAGTGGAGAGTGGGGATAATACAAATAATTTTATAAACAATAGGAGGAAGTGGTAAGTACTATGCAGAAAAACACAAGAAAGATGGATGGTGGTGCAATATTAGGTGGTGGAAGTTGGTCAGGAAAACCTCACTAGAAAGATGATATTTGAACAAACACTTGAATAAGATGAGGGAGGGAATCCTATGGGTCATCTTGGGAAGAAACATTCTTTGCAGAAGGGATGTCATGTATGAGAGAGGAAAACTTTTGGTATATTTGGGGAACAGGTTGATCAGAGTGCTAGAGCTGAGTGGTGGGGCTGCGGGGAGGGGGCGGTCATGGTTAGTATGATCAGACTTACAGGACCTAAGAGGGATGTTGGATTTTACTGTAAGATGTGTAGCTAGCAGAGGATGTTGAGCAAAGAACATGATCTAACACATTTAAAAAGGATCACTTTGGGTATCGTAATGGAAATAGACATTAGAAGCACATGGGTGGATCAGTGGTTGCCTTTGATTCAGGTCGTGATCCAGGGGTCCTGGGATCAAGTTCCACATCAGACTCCCCATAACAAGCCTGCTTCTCCCTCTGCCCATGTCTCTGCCTCTCTCTCTCTCTCTCTTTCTGTGTGTGTCTCTCATGAATAAATAAATAAAACCTTTAAAAGAAAAGAAAAGAAAAGAAAAGAAAAGAAAAGAAAAGAAAAGAAAAGAAAAGGACATCAGATGGGAAAGACCCAAGATCTGAAAGACCAGTTACTGCAATAGTCCAAGTGACCATGTTTGCAACCATGGTGAAGTGTGGTGAAACCACAGGGTTTGATAGTAAATTGAAAATGTGGATCATAAGAGAGAGAGACTTATGATTAACATAAGAGTATTTGACCTGTTGGAGGGATGGAGCTATTGTTTTCAATGAGTTAACAGTGAAGGGAAAGATGAAAATGGGACTTGGCTTTTGGGTAGCAGGACAGGGTTCAAGAGAAGCAGGGTTTTTAAATTTTGTTTGGTGGGGGATGAGTTAGGACTGTGCTTATGAGGGGAAGCGAGAGTAAGGGATGTGAGTCAAGAGAAATGCATAAAAACATGAAGGAAGTTTCATCAGAACACACAGCAAATAAAGAAGGTTTAGCTTTTTTTAATTTTTATTTTATTATTTTATTTTTTTAATTAATTAATTTTTATTTTTTTAGAAGGTTTAGCTTTGAAAATGAATAATTACTTTCCTGGAAAAGCAACAAAAAAATTTCAGGTTACCTATAGAAAAGTCAAATAAATTTATATTAAATGTCTTTCTATTACTTATAAAGTTTTAGTTGCTTCAAGTTTAGAGGAGGAGGTCGAGATTAAATAGTTAAGATTTATAATAGAATGTAAGGACTAAAATAAAGTTGTAAAATTCATAATTATTTTATGTATCTGTAAATGAATATAAAATACCCAAGATTGGGAGATTGCCATATAAAGATAGGACACCAAGGGCTATACCTTCAGTGTAAAGCTAAATAAGGCACAGGCCTGCTCATTTGGAAAGTTACATGCCTCAACCTTGACATTGGGTGTAGGGAGGGAGGGGTAAAAATTCTCTGAGAATTTGAATCATAAGCTAATACTTATGCAGGTCTATAATCTAAAATTTCCACCACCAGTATAGTTTGAAACACCCCAGGCAGAAAAATTAAGTAGCATGCAGTTGATAGTGCTCCTAGGTGACTGGCCCAAGATAATTCCTTTATGGAAGAATCGTTTCCATCTAACAGAATCGTAAGTAATTGTAATTAATTGTAATTAAAAGTAATTGTAAGTAAGACCCTTCTGATTTTAGAACCTTCAAATGTGGGGGGAGGGGTGTGCTTTAGAAATGTAATAAGATATGGAGTCAACTTCCATACTTAGTGATTTCTCCATTATGCTAAGGAGCCTTGAGAATGGTAGAAGGATTAATTCCAGATGGAGTTAATTAGTGGTAAGGTGGAAACGGATAATGTGAAGAAGGACGAAGTCATACAGTTTCTCCAAGCCTATCTTTATTCTGCTAGGAGGTAACTAGATTCTTAGACATGGCAGATGCAGGACACTCAGTGATGTCCCTCCTTCCAGGCCCATGGGAGACATTGCATTTCTTAGAGCCTAGAACAGTTCCTGGCATGCAATAATGCTCAATAAATATTTGATTAGGTAAGTCAGTGCTTAATTTTGGTACCCCTCTCTCACTTAGCTTGACTAGACTTCAGAACCCTTTTTAACACAGCAGTCACCAACAATAAATCAGGTGATTTGAAATCTTTTTTCTATCTGAGACAGAGATTTTGAGGTAGCAAATTTGTTGAACAGGAGAAGGTTTACCTTTGGGGCCATAAAGTCCAAAGTATATTTCCCATTATGTGTGAGGTGTGATGAGTCTTCTATTAGCATGACAGTTTTCTTTTTTGGAGTAGGGGGGAGTAATTTCTCCCTGCCCACTTCAGAGGGGATAACACATCTCAAGAAAGATGGTAAGTGTGGAGTGCTTTTTCAATTGAAGTGTCTTAAAAAATAAGTGAGCTTTATAATATTTTATATAGCTTATTGCTCTCTGAATTGAAGTGCTTTAAGAGTGATTTTTTAATAATATTTTAGGCAGCCTCTTTTTACATCGATGTTCAAGATGATGGACTTAAGAAAGCAAAGCAGGGAGTTTCTGGTGAAAGGAGATATTTAGTAAGTGATATTGCATTTGGTTTTTAAAAACTGGGCATTAGGGGATCCCTGGGTGGCGCAGCGGTTTGGCGCCTGCCTTTGGCCCAGGGCGTGATCCTGGAGACCCCGGATCGAATCCCATATCGGGCTCCCAGTGCATGGAGCCTGCTTCTCCCTCTGCCTGTGTCTCTGCCTCTCTCTCTCTCTGTGACTATCATAAATAAATAAAAAAAAATAAATAAATAAAAAAAATAAAAACTGGGCATTAAAACATTGGGTAACTCCTGCAGTCCTGAACATTATTATTTAGAGGGCAGTGAGACTGTTAAGAGGTCTAAGGTGGTTGACAGAGACTGTCAAGTTTTAGAAGTTTGTTCTGACAGGTTAGATTCCAGGCCAGATTGCTTTGCATTTGGATGAATGTGAGACAGGGAAGACGCTGAAGATTTATGGTCTGCTGGGGTTTCTTTTCTTTAATAACATGAATTTATGTAGGAAAATAAAGGCAGAGTCGTGTTAAATCATGTAAGACTACTTTCGGAATGTTTAGATATGTTTCTAAAGATGTTAGTAAAAGGTCTACAGCTGACCTTTCTGGGAGGTAGAGACAGGACATTGCAACCGCAGGGACTGTGACCCAGGCTGACCTTGGAGGATGTGGCTGGTTGGCATTAACGTATGCAGCACGGTCAATCCATAATTCATGATCCATAATTCAACTTCTGGGTGAGCATTATGAATTTTCCATTAGACTATTAACTTAGAACGAAGAGATGAATCTTAGATTCTTCAATTTATAGATCAAAATTCTAGCATTTTATAACTGAATGAAAGTCAAGGGTGGTTTCTGGCAATTCTCTAATTAACCCCTCTGTTGGATAAATGGTGGCAATTTGAGCATAAACAAATTATTCTCACGTTAAGGATTTCCATTGCCTTTTATCTTCTAATAGCCTTTAAAATTTTGTTATTGGTGAGTTATGAGCTAAAGCCCAGATACTAGATCTTATTTGTCACACTTGATTGTGCCATTTATTGTACTTTCTCTGCCTTCCCTTATCTAGCTTATGTATGTGGAAAATAATGGTACCAGAAGATAAAATCATCCTGATAAAATTTAGAAGCTTAGACATACAAAATCAAGTTGGATGGACCATGACTATATATCTTTACAATCAAGCAGTGGTGTGCCTATTAATACGTATGCTACATGTATTGTTACTTGTCATGTTAGAGTACCTAAATAACCAAAGATGTGCAAAGGGACCTGAAGTTAGATTTGTGCCCATAAGACATCTTATCTGCTGTCCCTTTCTTGATGGGGTGAGTGTGGGTGGTGGGAGAGAAACCGATGATCAGCATATTGACTGAGATTTCTCTATTCCTTTCTCAAGTTCAGTTTTGAATGACATTGGTCTCAGAACTATATAAAAACAGGGCAGCCCAGGTGGCTCAACAGTTTAGCGCTGCCTTCAGCCCAGGGCCTGATCCTGGAGACCCGGGATCGAGTCCCATGTCCGGCTCCCTGCATGGAGCCTGCTTCTCCCTCTGCCTGTGTCTCTGCCTCTCTGTCTCTGTCTCTCTCTATCACTCATGAATAAATAAATAAAATCTTTAAAAAATTGAATAAAAACAGTCTCTGCTGTAATGAAATTACACTTCAATGAATTAACTAAAGATGTACCATAAAGTAGGAAATGACCTAGCATAGGAAATGTGGTGATTCAGAAAAGGTAAGTTCTTAGTTCAGTGGGTATTTGGGAAGTTTTTAAGAACTGGACTTTGAGTCAGGCCCTAAAGGATGAGTAGAATTCAGACATGTGAGATTGAGTTTGAGAAAGCAAATGGAATATAAAACCATTGACAGAGTGTGGAAAAATAAAAGTAACCACTAAAGAGTTTGGTGTGTTGAGAACAGAGTTCTTGGAAGATAATATTAGGAAAATAAATAGAAGTTTCTGCCATTTTAATTCTATTTCTATTTCATTTTCTTTTAAGGTAAGGTCTGTGGAGGCATATTGCCCTCACCGTTGCTGAAGAGACCAATGAGGCCATAGTTAGATGTATTTCTAAGATAGAAAACAGCAACAGCAGCTTTGAGCTGGCCTTTACTGCTGTACAGAAGAACTCAGAAGCAGGTATCTCAAATATTTAATTCTCTGACATTTTTATTCGTATGGGGGTAAGGAAGAGGGAATGTCTCCAACCATTCACTTTGGAGTCCCCAACACTTCCACAGGTTCAGGCTGTGGGAGTGTGGCCATATTGGTGGAAGGAGGGACAATTCATTCTTCCAATTACCCTGACTTGTAGCCCACGAATGTAAGGTGTCATTGGTTCATTCGTGCTCCAGAGAAACACATTATCAGGGTAAGCAACTAGGGAAGCTCTTCACTTCCTCAAGAGCTTAGCTGTGTTGGTTTGGCAGAGTTAGTCCATCTGGACTAGGAAACGGCCACTATGACCAGGAACTTCTATTTGCCATATATTTGTGAATCTAAATATGGATCTACATGGGTTGTTGGAAACATTTCAGCAGTTTAAGACAGTGCAATGAAAAGTACCCCACACCACCACCCTGGGCACCTGGGTGGCTCAGTGGTTGAGGGTCTGCCTTTGGCTCAGGCCATGATCCAAGGGTCCTGGGTTTAAGTCCTGCATCAGGTTCCCCGCAGGAAGCCTGCTTCTGCCTCTGCCTGTGTTTCTGCTTCTCTCTGTGTGTCTCTCATGAGTAAATAAATAAAATCTTAAAAAAAAAAAAAGTATGCTCTCTTCTTTTCTAACTCCCAACCTGCCTCCTGGTGGCAAACACTCATAAGTATCTCGAGTATCCCTAGAGAGAAATGCTGAGCCCTTATGAACTTGCAGATATTTATATGGCTTCACAGTGCATTTTCTATTTAAAAATATCCCAAAGATCTTTCCAAATGAGTCCACAGAGCTTGTTTTAACAACTGCATAAAAATTATATTGTGATATTCCATAACTTCGGAAGCCAATTCCCTATCAACAGACATTTAGTGGATTTCCAGCCTTTGCCCATACCGACAGTGCTAGTACAATCCTGTGTCAGTGTTTTGGGGCACATGTGGATGTATATAATTCCCAGAGGTGGACTTTCTGTGTCAAAGGGTTTGTACATTTAAACCTCATGGTCATTGCCAAATTGCTCTCCAAAGAGGCTGCAATTACTTACACTTCTATCAGTGGAATACGAGGGGGTAACTAAGGGCCTGTTCATGTGCAGAGGGAAGCTTTTAAAGTTTATCTCTTCTGTTCCTTGACTACTTCTCTGGTTATGTTTCTAATTTGTACAGTTGGAATTTGAAGGTTTTATTACTGAATTTAGCCAAAACTGTATTTATGATTTACGGTGATCCAGAAAAGGAGCCTGAGTTAGGTGGGTAACATTCCATCTGAAAAGCACGAGAGCAGTTACAACACAGACTGGCCTCCTTTGGTGCCACAAAGTCAAAGGGGAATAAGGATTTCTTATTCTGGAAACTTATGTGTCAGAAAACCTTGGCTTTAACCCATGAGCCAATAATGGATTCGCCAGTAAGGTTTTGAACAGAAACATGCAAAATTTGGAGAATGTTTCAGAATATTTGGAGGATGAACTTTTCCCACAGTAACACTGAGTACGTTTTTGGCAGTTATTTAAGGTAACCTTTTTTTTGACACCTTTCTGTGTTAATTTCTTCAATTGCTGATATTTTTATGTCCAAGAAAAGTAACCAAAAGAAGAAACCAAAGCTATAATTTCTGCTTAAATCTTAAAAGTTAATTTTTGTTTTTTGGGTTTTTAAAAAAGATTTTATTTATTTATTCATGAGACTCACAGAGAGGCAAAGACATAGGCAGAGGGAGAAGCAGCCTCCCCATGGGGAGTCCTATGTAGGGTTCAATCTCAGGACTGTGGTCATGACCTGAGCCAAAGGCAGATGCTCAGCCACTGAGCCACCCAGGGGCCCCAAAAGTTAATTTTTGGAACTAAAACTTCAAATATACTTTCAGTTTTGACCTACCAATTTATTAAGTCTAAAAAATCATCCCTTCCACTTGTGTCGTCATTTCCTTAATACCCACCCCTTAGCTAAGTGTTAGTGTGGGTTGAAGACCAGGAATACAGGTTGGCCGGGAATGTTTGTTTAGATATTCAAGGCAGGTTAGTGGAGGCATAATCCCCTCATCCAGCAGAATGGGACCTGTGTTGGGTAGGCTTTAGGTGAAGCAGATTTCAGGTGTTCCTTATTCACATAAAATATAGCCTTGTTCTCTTTGGAAGGAGGAATACCAAGTTTGGGATTTTCTTTGACTCACCTCTTCTCATTGCGTGTATTAATCATTGAAGTTTCTATGCATACTAAAGCTCAGATGTCTTTTTCCTATCGTAGGGTGTTCTTGTGTGCGATAAAATTACAGTACGTAGTATCTTGAAACTAGTTTAATTGCCACATGAAATGGAAAAGTGTGCCTACAAACCAAAGTTGAAGAAAACTAGAATTGTTGGAAAAAAATTAAACAGATAATGTTTTACCTCTGTTTTCTGATTTTTTTTTAAAAAAATGTATAACTGTAAATCAAACTTCCCTAAAACTTTGATGGCTAAACTGTGGAATCTTGAATCCTACTCCAATATTCAGTCCTAGTAACATGCTGGGTGATTCATTTTAAAAGTGATGGTGATAATAACTTTCAGGGCTTCGAGGCTGGATTCACTTTTTTCCTCTCATGTGTGTATAAGCACTTGCACAGTAGTGATTTTTGCTTGTGAAATAGTTATACAGAAGATCACTTAGCCATGTGTAGCTGAAATTAGGGTGCTTGAATCACCTTGATGGCAAAATAAAAAAAAATTCAGATTCCTTCACTCCACCCTGATGGGACCCAGGAATCTGTGCTTTCACAAGAACCTCAGGTGATGCCAAGAAGCTACATCCACTAAATGATTAAAAAACAAAAAACAAAAAAACTCTACACACCCTATATGGAAAGTAGATAATTTAGGTGAGAGAATGTAATTCAGAAATGAGATTGACTGTTTTGGGATGTTTCAGGGTTTTGAAGGACTAATAGTTTTCTAGTCATTCTAGAAAACAAAGCAACCTTACTTAGACAAAAGGAATATCACCTGCAAAGACCCTACTGTGAAAGAGAATGGTTGATGTACAAAAAGCTGAAAATAATTCAACATTGTTCAAGTTTTGGAAGGAATGAAAAAGGCAACTGTTAGATCATGATGGATTAAGGGCATTCAATTTTCTGTACCAGAGTGCTAGGATAGCTAGCTAATATTTATCGATTACTTGCTCTGTACCAGGTATCAGTTATACATTTCTCATGCATTATGACATTTATTCCTCCTTACAAACGTAAGAGGTTTATATATTGCTCTCCTTTTCACAGATAAGGGACGAGAGATTGAGTAGCATTTCTCAAAGATGCAAGGCTGCTAAGAGGTGGAGCCATGATTCAAACCTTGGTAGTAATGTGGAAGATAGAGATTAGGGGTAAATTTCCATGAAGGGAGTGTAGTAAAGAAGTCATTGTGAGAATTTATTCTAGATCTATTCCCTAATTAGATATATTCTGGCAAAGGTAATATATGAAGGAGAAAAATTCCAACATGATTTTTGGACTCTTGTGTGAGTGGAAAATGGATGGTAGAGCCATTAAATGATACAGAGAAGCATAACAAGACCATCTTCATTGTTGAAATCATTTGGCTCCATTTGAGACAAGTGGGGTTTTATGAGCTTGTGGGAGATCCAGATGTAGATATCTAGCAATCTTAGTTCTAGAATTCAGAAAAGAGACTTAAAGAGAGAAATGTGGAAGCCCTATATACACAAATCAATAGTAATAAGTTTATAAACAGCATCTTGTAGAATATCTTTCAGGCTGAAGGATAGGATCTTAGAAAAAAAGACTGAAATTGAGAAGAGATGGCCATAGATGATGTATCAAGAAGATCAATAGAGTGATTTCATGAAGCCAAGGAAGGAAAAAATCCTTAAGAATCAGATACATGAGGAATATTGAAAAATATATAATAAATCACATCTATGGAACCTGGCATTTAGCATTGGAAAGATAGTATTAGTGAAATTAACATTAGAGTGGTTTTATGATTGACCAGGGTAAGCAAGTAAGGTCAGCGGGTGTAGACTACTTTAAATATTTTCAGTTGAAAGAAAAATGTTTCCTCTAAAAATGTTTCTAAAGCAAAGTTGGATCAATATCACTTCCCAAAATCAATCCTGTAAGAGCTATTCCATATGGTGAGTTGATGGTCATGTAGTTACAATCTGTTTAATCTTTCTTTCTTGAAAAGCCTCATTTTACATTGATATAACTCCACAGTGAAGAAGAATGAATTTTATATTTAGATCCATGAAATTTTCAGAATCTTTTTTGGGTTTGTGTATAGAATCACAAAATAGAGGGAAGAAGAAATAAACTTTATGATTGGAAGAAAGGGGTACAGAGAGCAATCCTTTGTTGTCATCTATACCTGTGAAACTTAATATTTAAAATATCTTCCTAGACTCCATATTTAATATGATTACACATTTTCAAGCAAAAGGAGAAAACAAAAGTTTTTGTTTCATTTTAGCACACAAATTTTAACTTGTAATCTGAAGCATCTGGTCAAAAACTATGATCTTTCATTGTTCTATATCCATGTATTGAATATGGTCTAGCTGATGGGCTGTAGTAGAAAGTGGTACAGGGAGTTTTAATAGGAGAAAATGTCTGCCTCTTATGGGGAAGCCAGTCTCCATGGAGAAAAGAACAGTGAGCTAAGTCCAGTGATAATACAGACAAGAGAAAGGCACTTGGATGTCTGAGTGCATTTGGCATGTTAGAAGATGGTAAATGGTTTCATACCATAAGAGAGAGGAAACAAAGATATATAATGAAGAACCTTGCATGCTCTGTTAACTATCAAAAAATTTCCTACTAGAATATAAGTTCCATGAGGGCCAAGATTTTTGTCTGTTCTGTTCACTGATAAATCACCGATATCTAGAACAATGTGTGGCAATATCAAGCACTAAAATATTTATTAAATGGATAAGTATTATTCTATAGACCAATAAATAAAAGCTCAATTGCTGGGGCACCTGGTGGCTCAGTGGTTGAGCATCTGCCTTTGGCTCAGGTCATGGTCCCGGGTCCTGGGATCAAGTCTCCCTGTGGGGAGCCTGCTTCCCCTCTGCCTGTGTCTCTGCCTCTCTCCGTGTGTCTCTCAGGAATAAATAAATAAAATCTTGAAAAAAAAATTGCTTCAGCTAAACAATTGCATCATCTATGCAAGCTTTCCCCCCCCCCAAGATTTTATTTATTTATTCCTGAGAGACACACGGAGAGAGGCAGAGACACAGGCAAAGACACAGGCAGGCTCCCCACAGGGAGCCCGATGCGGGACTTGATCCCAGGACCCGGGATCATGACCTGAGCCAAAGGCAGATGCTTAACCACTGGGCCACCCAGACACTCCTGGGCAAGCTTTTAAAAACAGATTCCTCAGAGGTGGGGTCTTGGGAGTTGATATCTTTATAAAGCTCATCTGGTATTTTTGAATTACTACTGTTGGCTATTGCAAGCCATTGGGGGAGGCATGTGTGTGGGTTTTTTTTGTTTGTTTGTTTTTTACATTTTTAAAAATTTAAATTCAATTTGTCAACGTGTAGTATAACACCCAGTGGTCATCCCATCAATGACATGTGTTCTTTATAATTTCAGATGGATGGGTCATTAATTTTATCTTCTTTGCTATAGGCATCTGTGGCATCCCTCCAGTTAGTTTCTAGTGGCTTTCCAGAAGAATTATAAATGGGGAAGAAGCCTGTCCCCACTGCTGGCCATGGCAAGTGGGTGTGAGGTTCCTAGGTAGTCACCAGTGTAGAGGGGCCATCCTCAGTCCCACTTGGATTCTGACAGCAGCCCACTGTGTGCAATCGTGAGTAAAATGGATGATGTTTTAATAAAGTGTCTAGCACTTATATTTATAGCCTGTGCCTAGGACATAAGTATATAATTGTCTAACTAGTAAAGTCATCCAGACTAATTCCAAAGGAAGAATCTTTCAGTAATTTTCTACATAGCAATCTAACCTCTATTTAAACAATGTCAGTGTGCGAAATGTTCATCAAACCTTGAAATTGCTCATCCCATTTATGGCAATCTCTGATTATTTTATTGAGCTCAAGTCTGCTTCTCTGGGGATGCCTGCGTGGCTCAGCAGTTGAGTGTCTGCCTCTGGCTCAAGGTGTGGTCCTGGAATCCCGGGATTGAGTCTCACATCGGGCTCCCCAAGGGGAGCCTGGTTCTCCCTCTGCCTCTCTCTCTGTGTATCTCATGAATAAATAAATATAATCTCTAAACAAACAAGTCTGCTTCTCTGTAGCAGAAATCTATTGTTCTAAGTTTACTGGAGTTCCAGAAAACAAGAAGTGAATCTGTTTCTTCTTCCACATGTAGTATTTTCTACATGTGAAATTGTCCTTTAATTTCATCTTTAAGCTAAAAATTGATCGTTCTGTTTGTCAGTAATTCCAGATGCAGTGCAACTTCCTCTGGATTTCGTGTTGTCTTTCTTAAAAAATGGTTGAAAACTGTGGAGAGCACAATAGGATAATCTACCACCTTTAGTCACTAGTGAACTAAAATTTTTAGTTCACTAAAGATGTTTCAAATTATGTTTGAATATTTTGAAATGTTTTCAAATTATGAATTATGCCATGATATGAAAATGCACAAAATATATATGTGGTCTAAAGAATATTAAATGTGTGTGTATATCCCTGCCATTCAGTTTAGGGAAGGGTCTTTACGCTTCTTAAGACCCTTTAATGTCCCTGCCATAAGGTAGACATCGTATCTAGGCTAGATTTTGTATTTATGATACCTTTCCTTTCTTTATTTTAATATCTGTGAATCCCTAAAACTTGTATATTGTTTGATTTTTCTTGATTTTGTTAACATAAAAAATTGTAGTTATAATTTTTTCTGTGACTTGCTCTCACCCTCATGATATATAGATAAACCATATGACTACGCATAACTGTAATTCATTCATGTGCAGTCCAGACTACCTAAGTCAGTCACCTGTTGGTGAGTTCTGGATGATGATTTTTTTTTTAACTCCTCAGATGATTCCAATGTACAGTCATGACCAAGAACCACTTCCTGTCTATCTGACTCCAACTTGACCACTGCCCTGCTTGCTCACAGTGGGTCAGCCCCCTTGCTCAAACATACACTCCACTTGCTCCCGTCCCAGGGTGTTTGTGATCATTGTTCCCTCTGCCACTCAGGATACCAGGTTACACTTAGCATGCCATGGAAGGCTCCTCTTGGCTCTAAGTATCATAGACTTTCCTTGATGATCTTCCCAGTTTTGAGGAGTACTCATCTGTTATTTTGTAGAAGGTTCCTCAGTTGAAGTTTGTCTGATATTTCCTCATGGTTTTACTGGGATTAGGGTGGAGGAGGAAAGCCACAGGGGTAATATGCCATTCTTAGTGTATCATCCCACAGGTATACATTATCAGCATGACTTATCACTGATGATATTAACCTTGAGCACCAGCTGTAGTAGTATTTGCCAAGTGTCTCCATCCTAAAGTTACACTTTCCTCCTTCCCACACTTACTCTTTGGAAGCAAGTCACTTAGGATAGATGGCACTTGAGACACTGGGTATTAAGGTCCACCTCCTTGAGTGGAGAGTATCTACATAAATAGTTGGAAATTTTTCTGTATGGGAGATATGGCTCTTCTTCTCTATTTATTTGCTAAATAATTTGTTTAAATCAGTGTGGACTCAGGGGTATTTATTTTAAAACACTGCATAATACTACATAAAATACTAATGTTCTTTTGCTTAGATTCTTCCAGCTTTGGCCAGTGTCTGCTTTTTCAGGATGGCCTCTTATCTTTCATGTGTGCCCATTTGTGACACTATGATATGCTCCAGGTTGATCTTACACATCCCCTGATCAGACCTGGAATCAGTCATTTCTCCAGTGAGCCCTGCTTTATTTTATGGGAGAATAGTGTAAGAAATTAAGATCTAAGTGGCAGGTGTACCAGTCGCTACTAGGGTTTTATCATGCTAAGTTCTCTCAGTGGACAGAGCTAGAAAATATAGCCATACACACAAGCCCATTTTATAAACAAAGCTTTCTTTCTGTACCTACATTAAGTTAAACGTGACTTTATGTGAATGTTTCTAACTCAAATACCACATCATGTATTCTAGGCCTTCCTCCCTTGGAGATGCCAATTTTATAGTGATTCTATCAGAATTCATGTTTATGTACCATGGAAAAGAAGCCTCAACCATAGCTGATTAATTAGTAAAAATTAATGTGTTGGAGAGGACAAATATTAGTATTGAAGCTTGAAGCACAGAAGTTTTGGCAGATTCCCTCGTCAGATAGCATAGTCTATTCTTGAATTTATGTGGTTCAAGACCCTGTGGCAGGATATAGACCATAGTGGGGCACCTGGGTGGCTCAGTGGTTGAGCTCAGGTCGTGATCCCGGGTCCTGGGATCGAGTCCTGATCAACTTCCCACAGGGAGCCCGCTTCTCCCTCTGCCTACGTCTCTGCCTCTCTCTCTGTCTCTCATGAAGTAAAAAAAAAGGCGGGTGGAACACCTGGGTGGCTCAGTGGTTGAGCGTCTGCCTTCGGCTCAGGGCATGATCCTGGAATTCTGGGATCAAGTCCCACATCGGGTCGCTGCATGGAGCCTGATTCCCCCTCTCCCTGTGTCCCTGCCTCTCTCTTTGTGTCTCATGAATACATAAATAAAATCTTTAAAAAAAAAAGATTCAGACCATAGCAAAACCATTCTTCATAAGGTGGATATTCAACTTGATGAGTCAGTTAAGATTAATAAACACAATCAGCTGTAAATGTTTGTGAACCATTTAAGTTGACCACAAAAGGAATTTGTTTGAAATTTCATCAGTGATTTCTTGATTTTTTAAAAAGACTTTTATAATCTTATTACTTATGGGAAAAGGCAGTTAAATAAAGTTATCAAGAATCTAAACTATGCTCTCCATTTCGTGAATCCAGCCCTCCTCTTTAGAAGTGATGAGTATTAAGAATGTTTTTTTTTAAGAATGTTTGAATTACTGATTTTCCACTAACATTTAGGCACACAGGCATATATTTTATAGTATTTGTATATACCATATATATTATTTCATGATTTTTTGCACAAAACATAATGCTTTCTATTTATAGCAATACGGAAAATATCTGTGTGCCTCATTTTCTCTTTACTTTTCGTAGTTGCCTAACTTCTTTCACTAGAAAAAATGTTTTTTTTTTTTTTGGAGCTCTTCCTTGCAGTGTATGACTCTTTATGCCAGATGTGTTTGATAGGCTGGAGTAACAAAAGCAGTGTGCCACTCATGCCCTGCCTTTGTGGGAACTCAGCAGCTGATTCCTCCATGGACTTGGTTCTCTTGGCCTCTTCTTCATTGACCTTGTAGACATCCAGGGTTCCATCCCCCTTTGAAAGGGGCTTCTACATAGCCAAAGCCATTGAGAAGGGAAGTTTGACAAGTGGCATATGCCAGCTGGGGAGATATGCCAAGTCTGGGAGCAGAGAGAAACCTCTTTTTGCTGAAGGTCCCCAGATGCCAGGCTAGCTGACATGGTTGGGTAGCACGCTAATGGTGTTCAACACTGTGCCACATTCCATGGCTTGCCTGGAACTGGCTGCTCTTAATACTAGTTTTCAAACGTAACATATGCCAGAATCACCTGGAGGGGTTCTGAATCTGTAAGTCTTATCTGGGGCCTGAGGACTCGTGTTTGCAATAAGTTCCCAGGTAATGTTCCACACTTAAGGAAAATTGGTGTTCTTCTTTTGCTGAGTCCACACAGATCTCTGTGCTCATTTGGGATTTTTAACTTACTTTGGGGGACTAAATTCACTTTGCAATTATACATTAGAATCTTTCTGTCCCAAACCTAATTTTTTTCAATTTCAACCACTTTTTTGTCTGTAATTGAGCAGTGATTCTTTTTTTCTCCCAAAGCAGAAGTGGCACATGTCCCATTGTTGGATGGGGGATAAGACCCTAAGGATACAAGGAATGGAACTTGGTTATGAACAAGGGGCAAGAGAGGATGGGGAAAACTATCAATTGCCACTTTGAGCTATTATCCCACTGTTGAAAAAACTCAGGCTTTGTTGCCTCATAACATGTATGTTGCTCTGTCACATGCTTTTTACACAGTATTTTCTGCCAAATTAAAGGATATTTGATGACTGTCTACATAAGACCACTAGAAATTGTGATCTCTATTATCAACTATACCGTGATTTTTATTATTTCATTTTATTGTGCACACCATCCTCTACACAGAGTAGAGTGGCCTTAAGAAATAAGTTTCCTTCCTACCAAGTAATAATTTAGAGGGTGACTTTGAAAATAAAGTTTAATCCTTCTGTTAGAGTGCATAGCAGATAATAACAGCAATAATGGCTACCATTATGGAATCATTACCATCTGCAAGGTACTTGCCAAGCACTTTACCTGAGTAGGCTTCCTTAATAAAGGCATATTGAAACACATGAATAAGTCAGACTCCTCACGCAAAGAATTGAAATGAGCATGGTTATGACTAGAAAGAAGATGCCTATGTGTGTTAAGAAACTTCTCCTATGAATATAGTGCACTGAAAAATAATTTCAGTAGCTTTACTTTTCCTAAGGAAACAGTTTTGAAAAAATTAAGGAATCTCCAAGCTGAAGTGAGAGAATATTTATGACAGTTGAGGGACTCTCCTTAGATATTGCTTCAGCTGGAAATCTTGGTGTGGCACATAAATGGATGTTGATTTCAGGCTTTTTTTTAACATCCTTTTGAAATATGTCAAGAGTCTGCAAATTTTTAAAAAAGATTTTATTTATTTATTCATGAGAGACACACACACAGAGAGAGAGAGACAGGCAGAGACAGAAGCAGAGGGAGAAGCAGGCTCCATGTAGGGAGCCTGATGTGGGACTCGATCCTGGGACTCCAGGATCACACCCTGGGCTGAAGGCAGGTGCTAAACCTCTGAGCCACCCAGGGATCCCTGAGTGTGTGCAGATTTTAGATGTATAGTTAGAGGATGCACACAGGGAGCACCCAAAAAACTAGTGCCCACATCACAAAACAAAATAGTGCCAACACCCAGCAATCCCTTATGTCTCATATATTCATCTCCCCTCCCCCAGAAGTATCACCATAGGTGAGTTTTACCTATTTTGTGGGCTGACACTCTTTTTAAACCTCTGTTCCATTGATTCTGGTGATTTGATAAAAGATGATACAATTTGAGATGTATTCCATAAGACAATGTTTGGATACTTTTAACTGTAAAACATAGGCCAGAAGCTACTTCATTATGAATGTAGGGTTTTTTTTCATGTATTCTTTTTTTAAAAAAAATATTTTATTTATTTATTTGAGAGAGAGAGTAAGCATGAGCATGGGTAGGGGCAGAGGGAGAGGGATAAGCAGTCTCTCTATTGAGCTGGGACCCTGATGTGGGGCTCAATCCCAAGACCTTGAGATCATGACCTGAGCTGAAGTCAGCTACTAGTTGACTGAGCCACCCAGGCACCCCTTTTTTTTTCATGTATTCTTAAAATTACTGTGAAATTAAACTGTACTTTTTCTTTTTTCCTTCTTTTTTTTAAAATTTTTTTTAATGGAGTTCAATTTGCCAACATATAGCATAACACCCAGTGCTCATCCCACCAAGTGCCCCCTTCAGTGTCTTCTTAACTTAAAACTAGTCTTTGGTGATATTTGGTAGGGGATCCAAAGCCATTTTATGGCCAAAAGAAGGGGGCAATGCATAATTAGGAACTCTTTAGGTAGCTTAGGATATGTGGTGTACCTTCCCAGCAAGGAGATCACACAAAGGCACCAGACAGGGGAGTGTTTGGGACATCTGGCTGAACTAAACTCAGTGCATGTTGGTAGAGCCACATGGGGTTAGATCAAATGGTGAAAAATGTCTCTTCATGTCAAACTTTTGTCATTGTTCTTTCTCCAGGAAAAATAATCCACTCTTCTGGATCATTGTTGCTGGGGACCATGATAGAACCCTGAAGGAACCAACTGAGCAGGTGAGAAATGTTTTTAAGGACAATTCTGCTTGTATTCTAAGTGTCATCACATGCTGGGGAATACCTTTAGCTAAATTATATAATTAGTATTTCATCTCCTAATGTCCCTTTATACTTACTATTTATACCAACATTTAAAGATTCACTCTGAGATCAGAGTTTAATCAGATAATTAAGTGAGGTAGGTCAGGAAGTGCAAGTTCAGGTCTGTTGTATACCCAGGTCCACATAGCCTGGTTTCTCTAGAACTGTCAGTCCTCAGGACGTAGATCATGGCCTCCTGCAAATTATAAACAGAGATTGTTTTAAATTCAGCCCTTTTAAATTCAGCACGGAGTCCCCTTCATTGCCAACATATGGAAATGTAGAGACTTAAGGTTTATTTTGGACTATTATGCAAGGAAGTAGTTTGACTCATTGGCTTTAGCTTTTAATTCACTTGCTCGCCACTGATCCAGGTGAGAAGGGCAAAACACATCATGGTACATGAAGACTTTGATGGGCAGAGCTGTGCCTCTGACATCGCCCTGATACAACTGAGTTCTCCTCTGGAGTTCAACTCCGCTGTGAGGCCAGTGTGTCTCCCACAAAGCATGGAGCTGCTCCTTTCCTCTGAGATCTGTGCTGTGACTGGATGGGGAAGCATTTTGTGAAGGTAAGCATTACTTCCATATAAATGTCACTACCAGTTGTTAATTTTGAAAATTTGGCGTAGAAATTATATCAAGCAAGCCTTTCTTCCTTCTGAAACATAGAACCCATGTCTTATTTAAGTATGAATGATCAGAGAATGGACTGTTTTATATTTTTCCTTTAGGGTGACTAGTTACAGGTAGGTTAGATCTGTAAAGGGCCAAATAGTAAGTTTTTTGGTCTTTGCAAGCCATATGTTCTCTGTCACGACTATTCAACTCTGCTAATTATTATCATCTAAAGCAGTCACAGGCATACATATGTAACAGACTGGATTGTGTGCTAGTAGAAGTTTATTTATGAAATTTTAATTTCATATAATATTTACATGCCACAAAACATTCTTCTTTGGATTTTAAAAAACCATTTAAAAATGTGCAAACCATCACTAGTTCCCAGATTATACTAAATGAGCCTAGGGTTGGAGGGGTTGGGGAGGGGTTGGCACAGAATTGGCCCACTAGCTCTGGTTTGCTGACCCCTGGGCTAGATGGTAGAGCTCTGTTTTTTGTTTTGTTTTGTTTTGTTTTTGATAGTAGAGCTCTTAGAGCCAAAGCAAAATACTGACAGATCTAAGTGGGTTCATGTTTATGTTTTGCCTCTTCACTGTGCAAGATCATTTGCTTTTCTGTTTTCCTTCTGTTTCTGTGTCCTTTATTTGGAATCTGCGAGCTTGAAGGAGAGGGGAATTTATCTCTGACTCTGTACAGTGCTCATGATCATAGCTTTCTGTGCTACCTGCAGCCAAATCACATTTCTCTAATTTTCCTAAGATCTGCACAGACACCATATGAGGAGATTTTATCCTCCCTATGTTGTAGATGAGGATGTTATGGCTCAAAGATTAGATAACTTGCTAAGATCCCATAATTAATAAATATCAAAGCTAAGATTTAAAATCAGCATGCTAAAAAATAATAATAAAATAAAATAAAATCAGCATGCTTCAGCCGATCATCATCAAATGGCTTTTTTTTTTTTTTTTTTTTTTTAACATTTAGAATAAAATCTGAACTGCTAGTCTGGCTTGGGAAACTCTATGTGATTTGGCCTCCACTTACCTCTCCAACTTCTTTTCCTCCTTTTGTCCCCTTCAGGCATTGTGGTCTTCTTTCTCTCTCTTAAACACAAGACCTGTCCTGTTTTCTGAAGCTTTGGAACACCCTTGCACTTCTCCCAGCTGTTTCTTCATCATTTTGCTTGATGCTTAAACAGCAGCACTCCCTCTTCATTTCACTTTGCTGCAGTAGGCCTGCACTTCCATCACTTCCTGCATGACCCAGTTTTATCTCCTTGCGCTCAAACGTACATGATGTTAGTGTATGTAATCATTCTCCCGGGAGCCTGGGTGGCACAGGTTAAGCAGCCAACTCTTGGTTTCAACTGAAGTCATGATCTCAGAGTCCTGGGATCAAGCCCCTCATCGGGCTCCATGCTTGGTGCGGAGTCTGCTTGAGGATCTCTCTCTCTCTCTCTCTCTCTCTCTCTCTCTCTGCCCCTCCCCCAGCTCACATGCTCCTGCTCATGCTCTCTCTCTCAAATAAATAAATTTTAGAAATCTTTTTTTTAAAAAGATTTATTTATTTTTTTTTTTATTTAGGATAGACACAGAGAGAGAGAGAAAGAGGCAGAGACACAGGAGGAGGGAGAAGCAGGCCCCATGCCGGGAGCCCGATGTGGGACTCGATCCCGGGACTCCAGGATCACGCCCTGGGCCAAAGGCAGGCGCCAAACCGCTGAGCCACCCAGGGATCCCCTAGAAATCTTTAAAATAAAAAAAAAAAATCATTCTCCATGTGTCATACATTAGAGTGGAAACCTCCTGGCAGCAGGTCTCTAATTCACCATCCTCCCCCAGAGTTAGAAGTTTACCTGGCATAAACAATGAATATGTTTTTGACTGACTGGCTTCCAAGCCCTTGAATAAATGCACCCATTCTCTGATATCTTCAACTGTCACCACCTCCATGACCACCAGACAACTGAGATATGGCTACAGTCTTAGGAAAGATGAATTCATTCTTCCAATCTGGGAGAAAATGAGTTCTCAATTTTAAGACATGGTTAAAGAACAGGGGTGGGGATAGTCCCTGAAAAGAGGATTCTAAATACATTAAATTTATTTATGTATTCGATGAGTACATTAAAAAAAAAAAACACACAAGCTTTAGAGTCGAGCCTCAGCCTAACTACTAGTTCTGACCCTCAGGGGCTGAGATCAGATTTGCAGAACTGTGGCTTTTTTGTGTGTGAGTTCAGAGTTCAGTGTGATCATGTATGTGAACAACCTGCCTCACAACATTGTATTATTGGGTTGGAGTAATATGAAAGTACTATATAAATGTCAGGTAATTTATAAGACTAGACTTAGCTATTTTTTTTTGTCAGTCATGAATCCAAAATGATAGAATAAGTTATGTAGAATACATGTGCATACAGACCTGCCTGAGGGTCAGTTATGCATTTCTTTAGTGTTCATTGCTAGCCTTATAGCCTTCATTGTTAGTCCTTTTAAATTGGTGTTGAGATGAGTCCCAGTTGCGACAAAGGAGGAAAAAGGAATATAATTTTGGTTTTTATTAGGAAATCGTATAAACATGTCACATTTATAATATGTTTTTACATATAAATATACTGTGTAAAAACATATAATCACATACATCCTATACAATACCGATTTATATCCTGCTGAATTTTCCTTTCTGAATTCTTATGTAGCAATATTTGAAACACTAAACTTTAAATAACAAATAAGCTAGGAAAAAAAAAAAGTTTCTGGTGTTGTTCTCCTGACAATGTATTCCTTTACAAAGATGCGATGCTTGAAAATGAAGACATCCTGCAATGAGACCTATTTTTTTTTTGACACATTTTTTGATTCAGTATTCTGTATCAGCTCAGGTGAAACCGAATGATTGCAATTATATTAGTACAGAGCAAGTCTGAACTTAAATATGTTTTTTAACATAATTTGTTGTTTACTTCATTATGAAGCTGTCTTTCTGAATCTGTGTCTTAAGCAGATGGCGGCCTCGCAAGGCACTTACAGCAGATTCAGGTGCCCATATTAGAAGGAGAAGTCAGCAAACACACTTACTCCTCTCACCCAGGAGGGCTCACAGAGAAGATGATGTGTGCTGGCTTTGCAGCCTCTGGAGGGAAAGATTTCTGTCAGGTGAGAAGACTCTGATTTTGCAGAGGAAGATCCAGGCATCTGCTGGAGATTCTCCTTGGACAGGAGGGGACACTTGGAAGCACAGGTAACCATTGTACCCTGTGCCTGGTAGCACCACGCCATGCCCTTCCAGGAGGGCCAGCAAGACAGCAGGAAGAGTGAGTTCCAAATTTGCTGAGATGGAGAGAGGGTAAAAACAGCCAAGAGCCTGAAAAGCAGATGGGGGGGACTGAGGAGCCCATGAGAACACAGGGCACGGCAACACTAACTGGGCCGTGGGCAGGAAGATGTGTTCAGAGAGATGCAAGTCTCTGGGAAAAGAGATAGAAGCAAAGAAGGGTTCCTTTTTTTTAAAAAAAATATTTTATTTATTTATTCATGTGGGACACACAGAGAGAGGCAGAGACACAAGCAGAGGGAGAAGCAGGCCCCATGCAGGGAGCCCCACATGGGACTCGATCCCAGGTCTCCAGGATCACACCCTGGGCTGAAGGCGGCGCTAAACCACTGAGCCACCCAGGCTGCCCCAAAGAAGGATTCTAAATCAGCATATCCTACTTATGACTTAAGGTTTTTATTGTTTTAAATTAGTGCTAATCTCCTATGTGCTCACATTTAATTTTCTACCACAGATAGAAAATAATCAGGAAAAATGAGAAACTTTGAAAAAATGGTTTGCAGTGCAGTGGAAAACAAATTACAAAACAATAGTTTCATTTCAGAGATCCTTAGAGGCAAAAGCAGTGTAGTTACATTCACATGTCAGTTGGACAAGCGTGCTATCGGCAAGTTCAAATCAGCCAAGGGAAGAAAGAGTGTGGACAAATGGATTGTAAAACACCAGCTTTAATATCCTGAAAGCCAAGTGAAGAATGTGACTTTAGATATACAACCAAAAAGGGTGTTTGATACTCTGTAACCCACCTTCAACATTTAGTCTGGATTTGAGGCAGCCTACTAAATAGAAACATTTGGGTCTTCAGGGCAGATATACTTCTCCAGACTTATCATTTCATACTGGTCTGGAATACAGAGGGAAGAAAGGATGAATCTCTAGTCTGTGCTGCTTTTTGATCATTTTCCTCTTAATCAAGAAACAACCAGTGGGAGAAAACTGGGTATTAATTGATGTATAAGTCCTTCCCTGTGAAAATGTGAGGCGAGAAGGAAGGAAGTCCCCTCTTAACACTGAATATCAGTTTCTGGTGGTTAAACCCTTTTGTGGTATCAAGTACTACTCAGATTCTGTTTTCTGCATTGTAGTTTGTATTTCTCAGAAGCTGACCTTGAGACAAAGATTCAAGTATGATGGTCTATTTAGAAAGTGCAGACGTCGCTGGTAGGAAAGTCAGGAGGGTGGTCTAGGGCAGGGAAGACAGGAAATGTGAGATGTGCTGTTAAGTCAGCTACCACAATAAGGGGACTGAGTTTAATCCTGCAACAGCGTAAAATGCACGCAACACATTTGTCCCATCCAAGGGGCGAGGGAACTGGGATATTTATATAACAACTTCCCCGAAGTCATAGTTTGAGGGCTGCTGGGGAACAGGTCTGTTGATCCCTCTGCTGCACTTTCCACACTTTTGGCCTGCCTTGTGAATGTGGTGGAGGAGGGGAAGAGCCCTCAGACCCAGAGCTAGGATGTGGACTGAAAGACTTTATGAATATGGGATGGGCATTCACACCATCTGCTAGAAGACGTAAATGCTATATTATAAAAATCAAATAGTAAAGTGCTCTGAATTAATGTGGTCATTCTTCCCCTTTTGAGGGATGGTTTTTCTCTCTGCTTCAAATCAAGGAAATCACAAATGGCTCTGTTGTCTCTGTCATGTTTGACAGCATCTGACTTTAAGGGAACACCTTACTCGATATCAAGAGAGCGAAGGGGAATTTGGGAGGGAATTAGGTCCATGACAGAGGTGACCCAAATATCATGATCTTGGTGGGCATTTATTTCAGTGACATCCAACTGTCCCTTTGCAGCACAACCAAATTTACAAGGGGAGGAAAGTAGAATTTGAGACTTTGGCTAAGAAATGTGGCTAGCTAAAGAACACTAGATTAGTAACAAGGTGACTTCAGAAACTCTGATAAGGTGGACTCTGGTATTTCTATCAGGTAGTTGATTTTTACCCTCCTGTGTGTGCTCAGAGGTAATGGACCTGCGTAATGTAATTTCTCATCCAGGAAGGTGAAAGAGAATGCTGGAATGCAGAAATATGGAGTTTCAGAGATGCAGTGTAGAATCCTATGCTTTGGGGGCACCTGGGTGCCTCAGTGGTTGAGCATCTGCCTTTGGCTTGGGTCGTGATCCCAGGGTCCTGGGATGGAGTCCTGCATCGGGCTCCCTGCCGGAAGCCTGCTTCTCCCTCTGCTTATGTCTCCGCCTCTCTCTGTGTGTCTCTCATGAATAAATAAATTAAAATCTTAAAAAAAAATCCTATTATTTGCTCATAACACATCCTAGATTGTTTTTAAAATGTTGACCTATAAGGTGATCTCTATCTTCACAGAGTGGTGTATGTCTTGTTCCTGCTGACTCTTCAAATCTATTTCATACTTCTCTTTTGCTTATATATTTCAAACACACTGATTACTTTCTGACCATACAAGTCACCACATCCTGCCTAACTTGGGGCCTTACTTAGCCCAGATATCAATTCTGAATAAAATGCTATTCCTCCTGGCTTTTGAAAACCCAGCTCCTTCTTTTGTGTATTAGCCCAAATGTTATTGAAATGACATACACCTACACGAGTATGTAAGCACACACAACTGCCTGCCTTTATTCTCTACTTTTTGCTCTGAATATTTTTCTATAGCTATTATCACCATCTAATTTGTTTATACTCTCTTGCTTAGAGTGCCTAGCTCACGGTAGGCACTGAATAATTTTTTGAAAATAAATAGGTACCATTTGCCTATTGAATATTTACCATGTGGTAGGCCCTATGATAGACCCTGATGATAAAAGATGAATTAGACAGACTCTTTCTGGATCATGCGATGTTTGTAATTGCAAGAAAAATTCTTTATTTGGTATACATTGGTACCAGGTGAATAAGTAGTTTAAAGATAAAATAAACCTGACTTGACACATCAGACCACTTACAAACTGGAAAGAAGTCTTAAGTATAATCTTACTTCATATGGAGAAAAATTACATCCAGAGAAAATGTTAATTGTTCTACATTACAGACTAGGGAATCTGTCTCCCTGTTCCTACTTGAGGATTTCTTCTGTGAAATTCTTCATATAAAATAAATAGCTACATCAAATGTCATAAGCTCAGTTTATTTTATCAGAAGACAAAGGATTTAGTTTGAGTCTAAATACATTTCTGTCAAAGAAAAAGAGAGTGAAAATCAGAAAGGCTGCCTTAAAATGCAAATCTGATAGGTTTTTTATAGCTTTATTGAGCGATAAGTGACATATAACATTGTGTAAGTTTCAGATATACAGTGTAATGATTTGATGCACTTGTATATTGTGAAACGCTTACCACAGTAGAGTTAATCAACACCTCCATCACCTCATAGAATTACCATTTCTTCCTGGTGGTGAGAAGACTTAAGTGTTCTATCTACTTTCTTATCAACTTTTAAATATATAATACAGTATTGTTAATCATAGTCACCATGTTGTACATTAGATTCCCAGAACTGTTCATCTTATAATGGGAAGTTTATTCCCTTTGACCAAGATCTCCCTCATTTTCCCCATCCCCCACTCCCTGGTAACTATCATTCTACTCTCTGTTCCTTTGAGTTCAGCTTTTTTTAGATACCAAGTATAAGTGATATCATATAATATTTGTCTTTTGCTATCTGACCTTTCATTTAGTATCATGTCCTCAAGGACCATCCATGTTGTTGGAAAGAGAAGGATTCTATTTGTTCTCATGGCTGAATAATAACCCATTTCATATATATATACATATATATATATATGCATCTGCTCTGTGATGCAGAGCATTTTCTCATGTGCATGTTGGCCAATGGAGTAATATTCCATTGTATACATAAACCACATCTTCTTTATCCATCCATATATATGTGTATATATATACCATATTTTTATACCATTTCATATATATACCATATTTTTATATATATCATATATTTTTAATTTTATCCTGTGACAGAAAAATAGGTTTTCTTATCTCGGCTATAGGGAATTAAGCTGCAATATATATGGGAGTGCAGACACCTCTTTGATAACCTGTTTTTATTTCCTTGAGGTGTATTACAGAAGTGGATCATATAGTAGTAAATTTTTAGCTTTTTGAAGAATGTTTATATTATTTTCCATAGTGATGTACCAATTTATATTTCTACCAACAGTGTAAAGGATTCCCTTTTCTCCACATCCTTGCCAACATTTTTTTTTTCTTGCCAACATTTTTTTATGTCTTTTTGATGATACCTCTTCTAACAAGTATGAGGTGATGTCGCATTGTAGTTTTGATTTGCATTTCTCTGATGATCAGTGATGTTGAGTATCTTTTCATGTACCTGTTGCCCATCTCTATGTCTTGTTTGGAAAAAATGTCTATTCATATCCTCTGCCTATTTTTTAGGGTACATTGTTTTTGTTATCAGTTTGTATGAGTTGTTTATATATTTTGGATATTAACCCTTTATCAGATAAGTGGTCTGCAAATGTTTTCTCCCATCCCATAGGTTGCCTTTTCATTTTGTTGATTGTTTCTTCTGATATATACAAGCATTTTACTTTCATGTAGTTCCAGTTAGTTGCTTCTTTCTTTTGTTGCTTGTGCTTTTGGTTTCATATAAAAAAAAAATTGTTGCCAAGACCAATGTCAAGAAGCTTTATCCTTATGTTTTCTTCTAGGAGTTCTACATTTGTAGCTTTATATATGTCTTTAATTCATTTCAAGTTTAATTTTTTGTGAGTAGTATAAAATAGGGACCAATTCCATTCCTCTACCTATTGTTGTCTAGTTTTCCGAATATCATTGGTGAAGAGATTATCCTTTCCCCATAGAGTATTCTTTCTTCTTTGTCAAATATTAGTTGACTGCATATGTTATGGTTTTTCTGGACTTCTGATTCTAGCCCATTTGTCTATGTGTCTTTTTATGCCAGTACCATACTGCATTGACTACCATAGATTTGTAACATATTTTCAAATCAGGAAATGTGATGTCTCCAGCTTTGTTCCTTCTCAGGATTTCTTTGGCTATTTAGGGTCTTTCGTGGGCCCATATGATTTTTAGGATTTTTTTTAAATTTCTATGAAAAATACTATTGAAATTTTGAAATGGACTTCATTGAATCTACTGGTGGCTTTGGTAGTATGGACACAATATTGATTCTTCTGATCTTTGAACATAGGATTATGTGTTCCATATGTTTGTATCTTCATCAATTTATTTTGTCAATATAATTTTTAGTGTGGAGATCTTTTACCTTTTTGGTTAATTTTATTCCTAAGCACTTTATTTTTTGACGTTTTTGTATATAGGATTGTTTTCCTTATTTCCTTTCCAAGTTTTTATCTAAATTCCAGTTAGTTACCATGTAGTATGATAGTAGTATCAGGTGTAGAATTTAGTGATTCAACACTTACTTACAACACCCAGTGTTCATTGTAAGTGCCCTCCTTAATCCTGTTTATTTCTTTTTCATATATTTTTTTGTTAATGTATAGAGACACTACTAATTTCTGAATGTTTGCTTTGTATCCTGAAACTTTACTGTACTCATTAATTAGTTCTAACTGTTTTGTTTTGAGTTCTAACAGTTTTTGATGGAGTCTTTAGGATTTTCCTAGATCATATCCTCTACAAATAAAGGCAGTTTTACTTCTTGCTTCCTGCTTTACTCCTTCCTTCTTTCCTTTTATTTCTTTTTCTTGCCTTATTGTTCTAAGACTTCTAAACCTATATTGAATAGGAATGGTGAGTGTGGGCATACTTGTTTTTATTTCTTATCTTACAGGAAAAGCTTTCAGCTTTTCACTATTGAGTATGATGTTAGCTATGGGTTTGTTATATATCACCTTTATTATGTTGTGGTATGTTCTGTCTATACCCAATTTGTTGAGAGTTTTTATCATGAGAGGATGTTGCATTTTGTTAAATATGTTTTCTGTACTATTCATATGATAACATGAATTTTAAACTTTCATTCTATTAATATGTATCACATTCATTAATTTATATATGTTGAACTATCTTTGCATTACTGATCATGGTGTATGATCCTTTTAATATGCTATTAAATTCAGTCTGCTAGTATTTTGTTGAGGATTTTTACATCTGTGCTTATTAGAGATTTTGGCCTGTAGTTTTCTTGTAGTGTCCTTACCTGGCTTTGATATCAGGGTGATTCCGACCTTGTGTAATAATTTTAGAGTGTTCCGTCCTCTTCAATTTTTGCAAGAGTTTGGGAATTGAAATGAATTCTTTAAATGTTTAGTAGAATTCACCAGTGAAGCTATCTGGTCCTGAGCTTTGCTTTATTGGGGTGTTTTTGATTAATGATTCAATCTCCTTGCTCATATTGCTCTGTTCTGATTTTCTATTTCCTCATGATTTGGTCTTGGCAGTTTGTTTGTTTCTAGGAATTTATTTATTCATAGTAGTCTCATGAATCTTTGTATTTCTGTGGTATCCGTTGTAATATCTTTGTGATTTTACTTATTTGAGTTTAAGGACTAAAAGATATACAAATTGATGAAGTATAAACATTTTTCATTAAAGAAATGTGTTATGAATAAATTATTGATTATTCCTGTTCCAAAATTGAAGGCAGAAGCTCTGGTTAAAGCAATTTTTAGAACATATTTTCTTGGTGTTTCAGGGAGACTGTGGTGGCCCATTAGTGTATAGACGTGAAAAAGGTCCCTTTGTCCTATATGACATTGTCAGCTGGGAAGCTGGCTGTGCCCAGCCAAGGAAGCCAGATGTACTTGCCAGGGTGAGTGTCTTCTTGGACTGGATCCAGTTCAAAATGAAAGGTAAATATTTTTCAGATATTATAAAAACAATTCCTCTTTCTTTAGACTAGGTTTGCAAGAAGTGAGTTTGGTAGAAATCAGCATTATGAAAGAAAAAACCATAAAGTAGTATTTCATTTATTTTAGTTTCTAAAACATTAAAATGCACATTAAAATTCTGTAAGAAAACATTCTCCCTTGAGCAGAGAGAGTAAAACTGACTTTTCCTGAGGCTGCTATAATCCTAGATTTGCATTTTCTTTTGACAAAAGCTGTTTTGATATAGACTACATTTTCTTTTGAGGCTTTCATCTTGATTTATTTTTAACATGCTCTCTCCAGGTACAGGTCCTGCTTCACTTCAGATAAATAATGAAAGCAAAACCTTAACAAGGCAACAGTTACCACCACTCACGCCTTCAACGGACAATGCATTTGGACCAGGTAATAGATGTTCATGTTATCCAATTAATTCAGCAGGTAAGAACTTAGCAAAAAGCTTTGCATGTCTATGTTTGCTAATTTTCTTTGGAATAGGATAAACCCTGTGTTTTCATTCTGGCTAGTAGTTTATACTGAAGGAGAGGAGTGTTGTCATTGTGACCATCTGGGTTTCTTTTCTATCCCCACAGATACAGCTGTTGCAGGTAAAGAAAAAAAAAAACACTTGTGGTTGTGAACAAGTTCCTGAATTTGAATTTTGAAGGAGTGCATAGAAAGAATTATTCTGACCTGTTTATTCCTACATAATTAAAGGTCCTTACATTTTCAGATATCTGGGTAGGTGAGGACCCTGGATGTGAGAGAGAACTACAACCAGCATCAGTGTTAGTCATTTATAATTCTCCCACAATTGTGTCTGTTTGCTAATGGGATTTTTATTTTTATTTAAAATGAAACTGCAGCTGGAGAATTAGAAGTCTGTAATAGACCTGTAGGGAGATGAAAGTTCTATAATGTCATCATTCTTTATTTCCAGGTGGTCACACACAGTATATTCTTTCTCATCGTCTCTACCCCCATCCATCCCACCTACAATCAAGCTCAGTAGGCAACTAGAAGAGGTGGGAGAAGGTTGAAGGGGCTACAGAAGACAGAGGGAATTGCTAGAGTGATAACCTTCAGTAGGAGAGAGGGGATGAGATCTTGTGTTCAGCAGGAGGGGTTGGTCTCAGAGAAGAGCAAAGTGCAGTTCATCCATAGTTGCTGGATGGGAGGCAGACTTATGCTGTATATGTGGAGATGGGAGCTTCTGGCAATTTTCTAATTGCTTCTATATACTTACCAGATGAAGCAGGATTGTTGAAGAGGGTTTGAGGGTTTTAAGAGAAAAGAAGAAGTATGAAATAGTTCTTCAAAAAAGTGACAAAGTGCATGTACTAGGAAAATGTGGTAGGATTGCTGGGCAACATAAAAGCCTCTGAGATTAATAACATGAATTTATAGGGAGATTGACCAGTTTATTTGTATGTTTTCTTCTGGAGACACTGAGGGGTAGCACATATATGTAGAACAGATGGGAAAGTAGATTCAATCAGAATGGGTTTTCCCAAGTATGCAAGAGTATAAGGGTGTTGAAGGCATTGTGTAGTAGGAAGGGATTAAGATGATGTATTTTGGAATTTAAGCTAGGAAAAGAGTGAATGAGGATGAGAGTTAGGGACAAAGGAAAGGTAGTTGGGTAGATGAATAGCACGTCTCAAAAAGTGGAAGGAGCATTGGACGGAGCTGAGAAGATAGAGGTTGTGGATGGACAGAGCAGTGCTTGAAAGTGAGATATGGAAGGTGGTGTTATTGCTGAGGACCACATCCCTGGGAGTTGACCATTGGGTTGGGTGGCTGAGGTCTGGTGGAGAACAAGATCATTGGAAGGAAGTTGAGAAATTAGAAAACTCCAGTGCTGGGCTCATCATTTATATGGGGACTGAAATCAGCAAGATGTGTGGCAAAAATATTGTTGGAGAAAAATGAGTGCTAAAATCTTCTAGGAATAAGAAAGTGGTAATTCGGGGACCAGTTGTGGGTGGCATGGTCTGACAACACAAGAATCAAAGAGTCTTACTTAGATTAAAAATAAATCTGGAATTGGGGTTGAGATGAAGAGCAAATCTAGGCCTAACATCCTTAAACCTAATGATTTTGATGGTTTGAGTTAAATGAACAATTGTGATTAGTGCATAAGTAAATTAATGCATACAAAGCACTTAAAATAGAAATAGCATGATGTAAAGACTTCTAACTCTGGGAAACGAGCTAGGGGTGGTGGAAGGGGAGGAGGGCGGGGGGTGGGGGTGAATGGGTGGCGGGCACTGAGGGGGGCACTTGACGGAATGAGCACTGGGTGTTATTCTGTATGTTGGTAAATTGAACACCAATAAAAATTAATTTATAATAAAATAAAATAAAATAACATAAAATAAAATAAAATAAAATAAATAGCATGATGAATGGCAACAGTCAACAGGTGGTGGTGGTAGTGATCAACTAATATATTCATTGAACTGTCCCATTCAGAAAATAAACGTTGTTAAAATGTAGAGAAGATATTTCTCGTTTGTATATGTTCAGAAATACATATGCATGCCAAAGAACTTTGCAAGTTTTACATATGAAAGGGTATTGTTTTGTTTTAATTCTGTGAATATTCTATGCATTAAAATGTTGAAACTATCCTATCTTTAACATCCACCCACTCCCAGCACTTGCTTTTTACACAAGAGGTTGTTAGCCCATTTATAAAAAGAAGTGACTGATTGGGAATTCATGACTTTATATGATTTGGTTCCTTTCCAGGCAGATTTGTCATAGAGGATTCATGGGGACAGGAAAAAAAGATTGAAAAGATATGTTGGGGCCAGAGTCTGAAAGACAGTGCAAGCTGCACAATTTCAGTTGCTTTGAGCAAGGAAAGAACTTAATTCTTTTGTTTCATACACTATCCCAGATTGGAGGGCATGGTGGGAAAGATTAAAGACTGGGAAATCAGTGAGGTTACTATTAAATCAAGGTGGTCTATAACTATCTAAATTAGATTACAGTAGCCATATACATGAAGGGGAGAATTTACAAAGGAAATAATGGGACTAGGCAATTGAATAGAATCCTGAATTCTTATAACATTCCATTTCCCTTCTTCAGTTTCTGCCACTCCTCATTTCTACTCTTCATAAAAGTATATTTATATATCTGTCACCTCAGATCATTAACTTCTCTATGGCAAAGCGTATATAATCACACATTAATTAATTAACGAAAACTCCTACATTAAGATATGTTCATTTGAATGCAGAGTATTTCAATATGTAATTGCTCAGAGGATTTTTGTCAAAGGAATACACAGAGGTGAAGAAGGAGGAGTCAAGGGTATATATAACATGAAGAAGCAGCAGCTGACTATAGGATCAGGGGGCCAGAGAGCCACAGGCATCTGAAGCTCTGCAAGTAGCCCTGCAGGTCCAAAGGTGCCCTTGGACTTAAGAGCAAGTGGAAGAAGTGAGAGACTTTCAAATGTATCAGCAGATTCTCCTTCTTTTGATCTCAGTCACGAATTCCATGAATATGATCATTTGTCCCAGCAAGATAAATGCTCAGTGAAATTAGTGAAGCTTTTAGGAACAGACCTTCATTGCATCTCAAAGAAGGAAGGAAATGAAAACATGCTGGAAGTAGAGATTGCATATCCACTGTGCATCTTCTAAGGCATTTAAAAGATTCCTTGAAAAGAAATTTTAAATAATTATAATTTAACTTCTACTACAATCTCATTTCAAGAAAATAGGACACATTCAATGGGATGATCATTTTTACCCAAGGACATGTGAAAGAGAATAATAAAGTTTTAATTTTCTTCTTGCAAGCCTAAATTTTTCAGGTTTGTGGTGGAGGCTCACTTTGCATTGCTTTGCTTTGTTTATGTTGGTCCCTGGTGTCTGTGTGCTCTGAATTGTAGGTTGTTACTCTGAAGTGGAACCAGAAGAACCCAGAGGCTTTTTTTCAACTCCAAGATATCCACTGGATTATAGAGGAAAACTGGAATGTTCTTGGGTGCTCAGAGTGTCACCAAGCAGTATGGCAAAATTGACAGTTGAGTAGCTGTCACTGCCTTGGTCTCTTGTGTGTCCAGATTCTGTTGTGACTATTTATGAAGAAAGCCACGATGAGAAAAGGGTATCAGGTAATGGCATTTCAATTCTCTGCTGGGAGCCCTTTTGGTATAGGCAGCTTTTATGATCAGGAGAGAGCTTGACTTGGGTAACACTACCACCAAAATGTGGATTCATGTAATAGGCATGACTTTTTTAAAAAAGTTTTTATTTACTTATTTATTCATGAGAGACAGAGAGGGGGGTGGGCAGAGACATAGGCAGAGGGAGAAGCAGGCTCCATGCAGTGAGCCCGATGTGGGACTCGATCTTGGGACTCTAGGATCATGCCTTAAGCCAAAGGCGGATGCTCAACTGCTGAGCCACCCAGCATCCCACCTTTTTTTTTTTTTAAGGCACACTTAATATTTTCAAAGTGAATGAGGGTGAGAGAGAGGGACAAAGGAAAGGTGGTTGAGAAGATGAATAGCAGGTCTCAAAAAGTGGAAGGAGCATTGGAGGGAGCTGAGAAGAAAGCAGGTTGTGGATGGAGAGAGCAGTGCTTGAAAGTGAGATATGGAAGGTTTTGTTGTTGCTGATGATCACATTCCTGGGAGCTGACCATTGGGTTGGGTGGCTGAGGTCTGGTGGAGAACAAAATCATTGGAAAGAGGTTGAGAAATTAAAAAAACTCCAGTGCTGGGCTCATCATTTATATGAAATCAGCAAGATATGTGGCAAAAATATTGTTGGAGAAAAATGACTGCTAAAATCTTCTAGGAATAAGGAAGTGGTAATTCGGGGACCAGTTGTGGCTGGTATGGTCTGACAACACAAGAATCAGAGTCATATTTAGATTAAAAATATATCTGGAATTGGGGTTGAGAAGAGCAGACTTAGGCTCTTAATAGTTTCAAAAGTTGAATTTACAAAACAGGTGTACTAGAGGTTGAGTGTGTGTGTGTGTGTGTGTTTGTACGTATGCGTATTCAAGCAGAAAAAATACAAGAGAGTTCAAGTTCTTCAAGCATACTGGAACTATGCCAGGATGCCAGAAATGTATATGAAAGAGGAATTAGGATGGTTAAAAATCAGATGTGGGTAGGAGGTGGGGGTTGGATTTTAAAATAAAGCAAAATATATTAAAGGTTTTTACAATGGCAGAATTTAAAATATTTGTTAATACGCTAGCTTTCATTTCATTTCATGTGCGGGCAACCCTGTTTTGTGCAACAAAACAAAGTTGATACCTCCTGTTTGTGTAGGGGTGGTACCGCTCTTAGGAGGGAGGTAGGAACGTTTTGGAAATCATTTGGTTGATGGGGACACCTGGGAAGAAAATAAGTGTATGCCTGCACATACATGCTGAAGACCAGAAAAATCCTCTGATGATGAAACTGTGTTCTTGGGATAAATTCTGAGATGAAATCATTTGGTTAGAGGGCACAAAACTTTTTTTAAAGAATCTTTATAAATACTGTCTCATTTAGACCTGGCCTATCTACTTTGTTCATTTATCTCCTGCAATCTGATGGGCTCCCCCATCCACCTTGATTGAAACAGCTCCAGGTCTTCTTGTAGCTGGAATGAAATCCAGAATTCCTAGCATGGCCTTCTGTCCTCCTTCCTGACTCACATGATCAGGTGCTATCCTTCTCACCTGAGGCCCCTTGTCCAGCTCCTCCTAGCTCTTCAGAGAGCTCCTTGTCTGTCCCTCAGATCTCTCAAGTCTTGACTAGAATGTCTCCTCCTCCTTCTCTTCCTCCTTTTTTAAAGACTTTATTTATTTGACAGAGAAAGAGCACAAGCAGGGGGAGCAGCAGGCAGAGGGAGAAGGAGAAGCAGGCTTCCTGCTGAGCCAGGACCCTGGGTGGGATCATGACCTGAGCTGAAGGCAGACGCTCAACCGACTGAGCCACCCAAGCGCCCCCAGAGTGTCATCTCCTGAATGATACCTACCTTCATTTCTGTAAATTACATCACTTCCTGCTTGGGTACCTCCTAGTTCCTCCCCCTTTTCTTTAGCACTTATTATCTTCCAACATTATGATTTGTTTTCATGTTTGTGGTTTGTGTTTTTTTCTATTGAATGTGAGTTTTCAGAAGGTAAAGACTTTCATCTTTGAAGTCTCTCCAGTGCCTAGAACAGTATGTAAGATGTAGGAGGCACTGAATGAGGGGCACCTGGGTGGCTCAGTGGTTGACTATCTGCCTTCAGCTCAGGTTGTGATCCTGGGATTGAGTTCCACATCAAGCTCCCCACAGGGAGCCTGCTTCTCCCTCTGCTTCTCTCCCTGTATCTCTTGTGAATAAGTAAATAAAATCTTAGGGGGTGGGGTGGGGGAAGGAAGGCATTGAATGAGTGAATGAATGAATGATATAGGTCACCTGGTCAAAGAGGGCTTCTCAGTCTAAAGTAGTGCCATTCATTCCCTCCCAAAGTCCTTTTCATCATATTATGCAGATTATTTCACTGGCAGCCTTGATTCCTATTTGAAATCATCTTCTTTATTTACCTGGCTAAAATAAAAGATTCATGAAAGCAGGGATCTTGCTATTTTGTTCCTTACTATATCTTCCCAAATTAGAATCATGTCTAGAGACTGAGAATATTTTTTTTCATGACTGTGTACTGATAAATTACTCTTCAGAAAAGCTAAATCAGTTTTCATTGCCATTAGCAATACATGGCAGCCTTTTGCACCATAACTGAATATATCAATTTGATAGGCACTTTTACTTTTTAAAAATCATTCATGGAGGCTTTTTTTTCTAATGTTGGTTAGCTATTTGTATTTTTTATTTCTTTGTCATTATCATCCATTTTTTCGGTATTATTCTTTTTATCAGTTTATGAAAGCTGTTATACATATATTTTTCCCTTGTCATAAGTTGCAAGTACTTGTTCATAAGGTTGCCATTTGCCTCTAATTTTTTAAAAGACTTTATTTATTTATTTGAGAGAGAGAGAGAGTGCATGTGAGTGAGGGGAGGGGCAGAAAGGGAAGGAGAGGGAGAAGGAATCTCAAGCAGACTCCCCGCTGGGCATGGAGCCCTACAAAGGGCTCGATCTCATGACCCCAAGATCATGACCTGAACCAAAACCCAGAGCTGGATGCTTAACTGACTGAACCACTCAGGCACATCCTTAATATTTATTATATGTTGATGTAAACATTTAAAAATTTGTTTAAATCTATCTATAAACACCTTTAATCTTTGATTTATCTCATTGCTTTTATTTATAAATATTAATTATTCATTCTGAGTTCAGAAAAAAAATTTTTATAAACTTCTTTAATCCTAATGAAATGTTTTTTTCATATGGTGAAGTGATGCTACCTTTTTCTTCAAGAAAAAACTATTTTCTCTCCAACTGGTAGCAACTCTATTATATACTAGATTCACATATAAAGAGAAACATTTTCTGGGAAAACTTACCCTCATCTTTATAATCTATTGAAAACCATGCTTGGCTTTGTTGTGGATTAACTGAGGAATCCCTATAATTTTCCAACCTAGCATTTCTTTGATTTGAAATTGTCAGCTTGAAACTTGTAGAATGGTTCTTTCTCTTCAAATGATAGATAGCGGAACTGCAAGACTCTAATGGAGGTATTACCCCATATTTAAGCCAGATAGTATTCTTCTATATTGTAAATATAGAATGCTATCTTTTTCCCCGTGGGAGCCAGCAACTCACTCAAGAGTTGTGTTGATCTCTATTTGCTACAAATAAGTATTTGATTATTTTTCAAATAATATTTCAACATCATTTACCTTAATGTGTTATACCATCTAATATTATTTGTTTTTTTCTAATCCGATGTAACCTCTTCCTTCTCTTGTTCCATAGATACTTGTAAGAAGGATATACTAGGGGCTAGAGACCAACTGTTCTTGGTTGTAGGGATTCAATAGTGAGCAAAATGGACAAAAGAAATCCCTGCCCTTATCAAGCTTCTATTCTAGTGGGGAGTGGACACATAATATGAAAACAAAATATATATTATTTAGGTAGATGACCCAGGGGAAAATGAAGTGGGAAGAAAGAGAAGAATCTGAGATATGCCATACAGTTGTATGTAGTATAACCAGCAAATGTCTTTCTGAGCAGGTGACACTTTGATAAATGTTATAGGATAATACTGACTTATTATTATAGTAGAGGGGTTTGATCCTAAGAAATTCACATGTTCTTTTCACATCTTCTTAATCAGCCCTCTGAACTGTTTTAGAATTATGGGTATACTTTCCTTTTTCATCTTTGACTCAGGTCCTCAACCTGAAGCAATCAAAAGGAGACGGAATATAAGGAAAGAATAAATTTTCAGGTAGACTGTTTTCCATCGTGGATTTTTCATAGTGAGATATTTTTAATATGTAGGTACTTTACTAGAAGAAAAAATGGCAGAGCAGCATCATTTTAAAGATGAAGTAATTTACTTCCTTCTGTCCTTCAAGGGAGCAATATGACATAGCAGACTGTGATAGGAATTGAATTCATGGTCCTGGGTTTAGATCCTGAGTCCCCACTCTGCCAGTCTGACTTCGGGTGAGTCACTTGAGTTCTGGAGCCGTTTTCCCTCATTTTGCAGAGTGAAATAAATTCCTACCTCCTGGGTACAAACTTATAACTAGTTGACAAATCCTGGAGATCTAATGCATAGTATAGGAAATATAGTCAACATTTGTATTAGAATCATCAAACTTGCCGAGGGACTAAATCTTAACTAGTTTCATTACAAAAAAGAAATGGTAATGATAAGAGGTGATAGAAGCTACCTATCACTAGAGTGGCAGTCATTTACAATATGTAAATATTGTCATCAAATGGTGTACATCAAAATGGTGTATACTCTAAATCTATACAATGTCACATGTTAAATATATTTTGATAAAAATAAGAATAATTGCCATACCTAAAATAGAGAAACTGCTAAAAAAATTTTAGTTCTTATGTTTTACTAGATTTCATTTTTTTTAAACCTAGGTAAATTATGGGAGAAGGCTTTATTCAATGCTTTTCATGAGCTCCGGACCACTGGTGAGAGTGGTATTTCATTCCCTTGTGCAAGGTGCTTTGGGCATAAGTTGTATTGTCTTTACGGTCCAAGGTATGCTTCATCATTTTATAAACTTATAAAGTTAAAAATCAATGTTTTTCTTTTTAGAGATGTTTCAAAACATGTACATTGTTTGGTAAGAAATGGTGTTTCTGTGGGGAGTTTATGTTTGAAAGGACAATCTATTTAAGGGATCTGAGATTGGTCAGATTCAAAAGAGAAACTGTTCAGTGGATAACCTGATTGACTTGTAAATCATCCAGAATTGTGATTCTGAATGTGGCTACGATATGTTGATTTCAAGACATTTTTTTACCGTCATGTGATTTTTATGCCCCAGATAGCCTTTTCTGTGGATCAGAATATAAGGGTTTTAACTGTTAGCTGGTTGACTAGCTATGGATAATTTATTATCTCTGTATCAGAGTATTCTTTATAGTGATATTGTTATAATCATAAAAGGTTAAGATGAGTATTTAAGATAAACTACACAAATATTAGGTCCTAGCATTATAACTGTAAATGCTAAGCAATTCAGACTTATCAGATAGCATTTTAGAACAAGTAATTAATAAGGCTTTCTGACTTTTGGTAAGTATAGGTAACTGAAAGCTAATTTCTTTTCTTGGCACCAAAAAGCACTGCAGAGAGATATTTGGGGAAAAAGTTCAGTGAGTAATAAAGAAACGCATGCATATCATATGAAACTGTTTTCCCAAAAAAACTATATTAAAAATGTTGCTTTTAGATGGAATTGTACAGACAACTGGCATTATCTATAGTTTTTCCACATTCTCTTCCATTGACTTGATGCTGTGCCAAAGACAATTCTGAGAAAAGTGCTGTTCTCAGTATCTTTGAATGATTCAGATACTTTTCAGTAAAACCACTTCTGTTCATGTTTTTTTCTAAAACGGGGAGGAAAAGTGACTTCTCTGCTCTGAAAGGCATTATCATAAGCCTTTCAAAGATTAATTTTATTTTCATCGCCTCTTTTTTTTCTGTATTTTTAGGTCCAAAGGGCAGTAAAACTGCCAAACTTCTCCAGAGTTCAAACCAAGAATATATGGCCACCTGTGAGGATGTTATTCTGACTAAACTAGGAGGAATCATTCAGATCCCAAGATACTCTCACAGAACCACAATGAGGTGAGGAAGGAATGTTTATTATGACGAAAGAAGTTTGTGAATGATCCTTTGACAAGCAGCAACCCTTGCTTAAGGCATTATTTCCCGCCTCCTCTCCTTGAAGTATAGACTGTGAGGGAATCGCTGGTCTGAGACCTTCATTAGACAAAGACTGAATATAAGATCGTCCCTATTGATAAATTGTGTACTTTCTCAACAAAAGAGATCATTTATTAGGTAAAGTGGAAAGTCAAATCTCCATCTAAGAGTTTTGGAGACTGAAATAATGTACATAGAGTCTTCTAGCACATATTAGGTACTCAATAAGTGGCTATTTAAATTGCAAAAACAGAGAACTTTCCTTGAATTAGACAATAGGATAAATTTAAAGTGTGAAGTGAAAAGTGAAGATTTGCATAATATCATTCCTAAGTAAATTTATATGATTTGGGGAAGTCTGGGGCAAATTCAGGGAAAAGTATGTCCTTAACTCTCAGATTGCCAGTCAGAATTTAAAGGATTACATATGATTGATCCACCATTCACTGCGATGGGTGAACTCAATTAACAATCTTAACAAATTAGGGATCCCTGGGTGGCACAGCGGTTTAGCGCCTGCCCTTGGCCCAGGGCACGATCTTGGAGACCTGGGATCGAATCCCATGTCAGGCTCCTGGTGCATGGAGCCTGCTTCTCCCTCTGCCTGTGTCTCTGTCTCTGTCTCTCTCTCTCTCTGTGTGTGTGACTATCATAAATTAAAAAAAAAACAAAAACAAAAAAACAATCTTAACAAATTAAGTCTTAGAAATATTTTGAATTGTTACAACTTAAAGTAAAAAATCCTTTTTTCACCCAAGCACAAAAGAGCAGATAAGAGTCCATAAAAGTGATGCATACAATTCTGAACGAAGTCAGGACCAGTATGTGCTATTTGGAAATCATTCCTAACTTTCTTTTATCTGTGCCATAGTTGCCACTGGAAGTTATCAGCCCCCTTAAACCACATCGTTCGTCTTGATATTATCAACTTCCAGATGAAGCCAACACCCTTGGCCTGTCAGAGTCATATGTGGGTTTACGAAGGATTTGGATCAGGCAAAAAATTAATAGGTAACTAACGTCCCATGAAGCACTATGTTCTTGATTTTTTTAAATGAAATATTCCCAGATTGTTTTGCATTCAGTGTTACTTACAGATGATGTAAATTATGTGATACTGAAATGGCCTTGCTATTTTTTAGATTCGTAATTGAGATTAACACTCTCTCAGACTGAGTTAAAAACAAAACCCAATTACCATATGCTGCTTATTTGGGTCATACCTAGATTAAACTTGCCCAGAAATACTGAAAATAAAGGATGGACAAAGAAGTTTTAGGCAAATGTAACACAAGAAATTGAGAGTATAATATTAATCAGGCAAAATGATATCCACCAGAAAAGGCATTAAATGGGTTTATCAATTAAATAGTAGCTGGAAACTTCACTACAGTGACTTACACTGATTTTTATGAATGAAAGAAAGAAAACTTCAGAGTTTTTCAGATGTGTCACTAATTCAGTCATTCAACTCTGTCAAGGCTAAGGTTATGGCAGTTCTCTTGGCCTTTCCCTAATGGTTCATGGAACCAATGGCTCTTTCAGTTCTTACTATTTCACAGAGGAAAAAGGAAGAAGGGACACAGAGAAAGGAGTATACCATTGAGAGAACAAACACAATTCCAGGAATCCTATTGCAAATTTAAGCCCTCTCCAGCCAGACTGGTCACATAGCCATGCCTGACTGGGAGATGACTAGGGACAAAGGGAATGAAATGGGGCTTGAGCTGGCTGACCAACATTGCACAACATGATGTGATAATGGCAGTCCAGATGGAAATCTGATAGTGCTGGATCCAGATCTCAGTTCTACTATATAGTAGTTAAATAATTTTGGGAATGTTCCCAAAGCTTTCTCAGACCCTGTTTCCTGAATTGTGACAAGAGAATGTAATATCTATCTTAGTTTTTTATATAATTTACAAGAAGAGAAACTCACTGTCACAACCACCACATATATACATGTGTGCTATAAATTCTCGATTTACTTAGTCAAGGACACTTATGTCTGATGACACCAGATGACTGCCCAGAGGGAGATGATGTTGGCATGATGCTGGCCTTTGACTCCCTAAGAAAGACCCAGATACCAGTGTACCTCTTCCCCTAGATAGGATCCTGCCAGAGTTGCTAAAACAGCCTATTGCTAAACCACCATCCTTTTATTCTTCCGATTTACATTACCATCCCAGAAGTAGATGCACTAAAAATCTTCCTGTTTCTACCTAAGCAAACGTTAATAAATGCTGATAGTTCCTGGTTCCTGAGCCCATTTAGTATCAACAAGGCCACAGCTTCTAGCAGGGAGAATGCAGAATCTGCCCACAGTATTCTTAGAAATTATTTACACTTATTCCTTTCTTGCCTTATAGAATGTCTGTTACTTATACTACCAAGGGAACTCTTTTGGGAATTAAATGAGAGGATGCATGCTAATATAAAAGAAAGCAAGCTTCTGCCATGTTTGAATTAGAAATATATGCTTTCATTCCTATTCTTAAAATTGTGTTGCTGGGATGCCTGAGTGGCTCAGCGGTTGAGCATCTGCCTTCAGCTCAGGGAGTGATCCCACAGTCCCAGGGTCGAGTCCCACATCAGGCTCCCTGCATGGAGCCTGCTTCTTCCTCTGCCTCTCTCTGTGTGTCTCTCATGAATAAATAAATAAAATCTTTAAGAAAATTTTGTTGCTTAGAAGAAAAGATTAGACTGTTGTTTCCCTAGTACGTCTCCATCAGTGGGGTGTCAGAGTACACAGTTGGAAGAACAAAGAAATAAAGAAAAAAGGGGAAAGAATATATTAACTGTATCAGTTATACTTTATAATGTTAATGAACTATAAGCCTATTTTTCTTGGAATAAGTTCATAAAACATATGTACCATTTCCTTTCTCCTTCCTAATTTTTCAGTTTTTGCCAGTAAAGTATGCAAGTTCCAGGGGTTGATTCAATGATTGAGGTCAATAGGTTACAAAATATTAAACATAACCAAATATAACTTATCTCAAGAATGCAAGGATAGTTCGATATTGAAAAATGTATTACATATAATATAACTATGTCATGTGAGAAAAAATAGATATAAATTAAGTATACAGTAATTACAACCTTAAAATTACACCAGTAAAATTAATAAAAGATATAATGGAAAAATCATTTTAATTATAATTAGCAAAAAAAAACATACTACTAGGAATAACTGTTAAACAAAACTCAACCAAATAAATTTGGAGGTCTAATTTGCTTTATTAAGGGACTCATGCATCAGGCAAGATTCCTTCTGGCAAGGAGAGGGTTGCTCTGAGGAACTGTACAAAATGAAAGGATTTTATAGAAAGAGGGCAGGATAGTTAGCAGAAGAAAAGGAAGGGGCTCTTATACATATACCTTGTCTTCCTTCGGGGAATGAAGAGGGCCCCTTTGACACTTTACCTCATTGGTGCTGACCAGAAAATTCTCGACTAACTGGTTAAGACAGCATTTCCAGGGTAGATTGAAATTGCAATTAGGTTAGGTATTAAGACCCAGTTTGGTGACATGACCTCACATAAGTTACTCCATTTGGGGCCTGTAGTTTTCTTTTTGACATCACCGTAAAATTTGCGATTTATTGTGCAAATATAAAACTTTAAACACACACACAACCATACAAATATGAACAGAGAAATGTACCATGTTCTAAAACTGGAAAACAGAAATAACATTAATTCACACCAAATTAATATGTAAATATAGTACATTTCCCAGCAAAATCCCATGGGAATTTTTTTTTTCAGAGTGAGATAGAAACTAGTAACTATTTATCTTTAAAATAAATAGGACTAGCTGAAAATGTTTTGAGAGACTCAGCCCTGATTAAATTTCAAATTAAAACCAGAATCCCCAAAGGTTTTTTTTTTTAAGTGATGAGGCAAATTGTCAGATATTAAATATTTTTTTTTAATTTTTTTTTTTTATTTATGATAGTCACAGAGAGAGAGAGGCAGAGACACAGGCAGAGGGAGAAGCAGGCTCCATGCACCGGGAGCCCGATGTGGGATTCGATCCCGGGTCTCCAGGATCCGCCCTGGGCCAAAGGCAGGCGCCAAACCGCTGCGCCACCCAGGGATCCCAAATTGTCAGATATTATTAAAAAATACTTTAATACACATAGAGACACAAGTGAATAGAAATAAGTAAACCAAAAGGGAAGGTATACAATATTTATAGATGAGAAATGTGGCATTACAAATCAGAGAGGAAAATATAAATTATTTTTTATAACTTTGTACAAGAGCCAATTAAAGAGTTAAGCATTTTCCTTACAAAGTAGAAAAAAAATGGGTAATTATCTTAACTATTGATGGAGAAGGACTTTCTCATATAAAAGCACTGGAAGAAACGGGAAATTATTAAAAAATTCCTATATAATTAAAAAACTTCTGCCTCGATAGAAACAAAATTTAAAAACAAATAACAAACCAGATTTCCAACAGCTCTGAGAAAGGTATAAGGTAAATAGCATAGGGAATGTTTATAAATCAGTATTAGAAAGTTCAAATCTGTAAAAATAAATTTATAGGCCCCAATATCTTTGACTCAGCTTTGATTAAATTTCAAATTAAAACCAGTCTCCAGAGCTTTTGATTTTTATTTTGTTCATTTCCCACGAGATGACAAACTACTGACCCACATGATTTTGAGAACATAGAGCCCTAGATTAACCATTAGCTTCTTTTCACAGATAAGAAAGGTTAGTGAGTATTCACCTATCAGTTCCTATACAATCTAAATTAAATCTCGTTTCTTGTCACAATGAAGTTGACCCTCTGACCATCTCTCTACTAAAAAGAGAGTTTTTCTATAAGACAGAAGTTTCTTAAAATTGTCCACTTGAAACCTTGATACTATTGAATGTTAGAGCAAACTATCTTTTTTAGAATGTTTGTTTCTAAAAATACTATGTATGATTACTTAAAATTGGAAATGGTTCGTCATAGAAAGTGTGCCAATTGCTACACCTTGCCTCTTATTCATTTGGCTATGCTGTAGATAAATGAAGGTTGTATGTAGCTGAAGCTCAAATATACTCCCTGTATATCTTTATTTTATCTCAGTCTGGTGACAAGAATAAGTTTCCTGAGGACCTAGCTAGCTTATTGTTCCCTGACGAATAATTTGTTCCCTGGAGACCTAGCTAGACCGTGTCATATTCTTTTATAATACATCACTTTAAAGAGATCTACCTAGACTATTCTAGACATTGTAGGAACAGATCCTGTGCTCTAGTTGGTTTAGAGCTCCTTCCTTAGGATTGCTTAGATTCAAGAATCTGAAATATTTTTCTCTCTATTCTTTTTTTTTTTTAAGATTTTATTTATTTATTCATGAAAGACACAGAAAGAGTGGCAGAGACATAGGCAGAGGGAGAAGCAGGGTCCCTGTGGGGAGCCTGATCTGGGTCTCGATCCCAGGACCCCAGGATCATGACCTGAGCCAAAGGCAGACACTCAACCATTGAGCCACCCAGGTGCCCTCTTTCTCTCTATTCTAATAGGATTTTCTTCTGCTTAATTTTCTTATTTTTATATTCTTGGGAGTGGATAAATGATATAAATTAATTATTTCAAAAATAGTATTTTTTTCCTCTTTTATTTTGCTTTGTGAGAGCTAAGTTTTTCGTATGCTTATTTTTTTCTTTATTCTGGGCTAGGAAAATTGTGTGGAGGAAATTCACCTTCATTAAAGTCTTATGGTCCTCTAACGATGTTGATTTTCACATACAATGTCAGTTTGGCCATGGAAGAATTTTCTTTGAGATATTCTTTTCATATTTCTGGTAAGTCTATTGCTTTCATATATGTTTATGTGTATGTTTTTGTTTTGTGCTTTATTAGGAAAAAAAATCTGTCATTAAACAGATTGAATTCTCTATTTTATTGGTCTGCTTTAGAGGAGAAGGAAAAGGCATTGTATAAAGTATCACTTCTGTAATCTGTGGAGGCCTCAAGCTAACCCTCTATAAAGTATAAGGTTGATCAGA